GGAAGACGGCCCTGGGCTAACGTCTGTGCCCATCTTCCTCCACTTTATATGGGACGCCGCCACAGCATGGCTTGCCAAGCAGTGCGTCGGTGCGCGCCCGGGATCCGAACCAGCGAACCCAGGGCCGCCGCAGCGGAGCGCGCGCACTTAACCGCTTGCGCCACCGGGCCGGCCCCAAGAGTATTTTTTTAAAAGGTCTGGAAGAATATATATAAAACTCAGGACAGTGGTAACTTCAGGGAGAGGGATTATATACTTTCTTTTAAAAAAACATTTCAAAGAGCAGTCTGTTCCAATCTTGCAAGTTTGGGACAAGTATTTCTCCCATTATACAGCCAGAGGAACTGAGGCACAGAAGCAGGCCATGTCCCCAAGGTTACACAGTGAGTGAGGGGCGGAGTTGGGCTCAGATCTTGCCCAGTCATGTGTTCTTTCGACTACAGCATATTTAGCTGGGCAGACGGCTTCAACTAGTAGTTTCCAGGGGAAGGAAAAGAAGACCCAGAGAGTTCTGAGAGGCTCTTCTGGCCTAAGGTTTGAGGAAAGTTAGAGCCCTGAGCCAACTAGAGTCCCAGAGCAAATGAAGTCAGACCAAAATAGACACCACTTATATTCAACGGGAAATGACCCAGAAAAGAGCCAATCCGTTTCCAGATGTTAATTGAAGGGCCTCAGTTGGAGAGATGTCATTTTGGAATCTGAAACAAAATCTCTTGATAAGCTTTCTCAACTCAGTGTGTGGATCAGAAATGAACAGACATTTGATTTCAGGGAAATGCCCTGCTAGGAAGGTCGAGAGGCTTCTGTTTTATAGAATCAAGCTTTGAGAAAGCAGCCTATGAATGAGTATAGAAACCAAGGCTTTGCCATGTTTTGTCAGCATAATTTTGGGAAGGAATATGAGAAATAGAGAGTCTATTCCTGCCTTTGGCTGGGAAGAAAAGCGGAAATCCCAGGTTGAGGAAATGAGGCATGATTAAACTGTGTAAATGAGATTTAGCTTGTGGCTAAAAAATTTTTTATCTGTTAGCTGTTGTGAAGTAGAAAGAGACTAAGTTCTCTAAATCTTGTATTTCAGACTTCTACAGATTTCTTTTAAGTAACACTTAGAAGAAACTTAGCTGTACATGTCCCATCCACTTAATTTATGATGGGTATAATAAAAAATTAAAAACCTCAAAGCATACAAGAGTGTGTCTAATGTGCTACCGCTTATGAAGCAGAAAGGTTACACACACAAACACACATGCACTTGTTTATGTGTACCATCTCTTTAAAGATATGTAACCTGGTAACAGTGGCTGCCTCTGGGGAGAACTGTGGAGCTGAGAGATGAGGTGGGAGGTACAGCCTTCACTGCACTGTTTCAATTTACCCTATGCCTGTATTACATATTAAGAATAAGACATATTCTTAAAAAGGCTGAAAGGGAAAAACATACCTTTACAATAGAGAGATTTGGTGGCCACCCCGTTAACCAAGTAAGGAAATTTAGCATTACCAAGGGTATAACAACCTGACATTATATGACGCATTAAGGGTTTTAACCTGAATTTCATCAAGCCTTCAGCCCTAACCTCTGATTAGCAGAAAACATACAGAATAACTAGTTTAATGACACACGAGAGGGGGCTAGCCCGGTGGCGTAGTGATTAGGTTCTCTCGTTCCACTTCAGTGGCCTGGAGTTCGCCAGTTCGGATCCTGGGCACGGACCTACTCACTGCTCATCAAAGCCATGCTGAGGCGGCGCCCCATATAGAAGAGCTACAACTCTACAACTATGATACACAACTATGTACTGGGGCTTTGGGGAGAAAAAAGAAAAAGAGGAAGATTGGCAACAAATGTTACCACAGGGCCAACCTTCCTCAAAAAAAAAAGGACACAGGAGAAAACAATCAATTCAGAGAGTGGGATGTTCTTCAAGATGTCAATGTCAGAAAAAGATTAAAAGGTGGTTCAAAAAAATTAGGAATAAAAGATATTTTGGGGACAACTAGAGAAACTTTGAATATGGTCTGAGTATTAGGCAATATTAGAGAATTATTAATTTTCTTGGGCGTGAGTAATGGTTTGATGGTTATATAGGATAATGTCCTTATTCTTAGGAGATGCACGCTGAATTATGGAGGGGTAAAGAGATGTGATGCTGGGAACTCACTTTCAAATGATTCAGAAAACACACGCTAAGATATGAAACACACACACACTTGATTATTAAGCTATAGTCTCTTAGCTTCAAACTAGGCTATGTGATGCCAGGGCTGGAACTTTGCAAATCACCTTTCTCCTTTGCCAGCTGGCCTTCTGCTAGTCTGCCAATAGGGGGCACTAGAAAGAGGCTGGAAGTCTAGAGGAGTGGAAAGGAACTTTGTTCTGTTTTGCTTCCTGTTACTGTCAGCCTCACTTGAGCAACAGTTCCTTACCCTGGCAATGACAGTTATTTCCCGTAGGAGCAGCTGGTTCACATTTACATTGTTTCCACAGTCTCAGAAATAGCCTCATTGTACTTCTTCAGACATACCGGTATCAGCTGGCAGAGGCCTTCTCTGTCCCAGCTCCACAGGCCCCTTCTTTCAAGCTTCTAAATTGTATTAATCCCAAGCTCTTTGTTCTCCCAGCCCTAGGATGGTAACTGCCTTCTATATTTACTACAGTATTCCTTTTGCCTTTCCAGTTCTCCAATACTTGGTTAACAATTCCTTACATTAAATTCTGAGAAAGTAACTGGTGTAGTTTGTGTCTCCTGACTGAACCTTGACTGATACAGAAATTGGTACCAGGAGTCTCAGGAAACAGACCCTCAAAGATGGAATTTTTTCAGGTGCCTGGGTTTGTCTTCACACTCGAATGCAATGTTGAGCTCCTTGTCATGGGAAAGGGATGCTAGTAACCCATGTCATGGAGTGGCACTGATTAATCAAATTATTGACTATAGATTATTGTGATAAAGAACCTCCTGAAGCAGATGCCTGGGGGGACCAAGTGGCTGCTGGGAAGAATGATGACTACAAGGACTGTGGGGTGGGATGCCTTCTACTGAGTGCACTGGAGTGCTTACAGAAAGAAAATGACACACTCAGCTCTTTAAAGTCTCAGCTCAAGTCCCAGTCAGAGAACTAGAGAGATTCTACAGTAGTTCTAAAATATCTCAAATCTTTTGTAGCTGCAAATTCAGACACAATATTTAATTGTGAAAGTTGCAGAGTTAAATGTAAATTGAATTCACAGCCTACATCTTTCAGTGAAAGTTAGGATGAAGATTGGGAAGTGTCCGCAAGACTTGGAATGAGAACATCTGCGTGGACTTGGATGAGGCTGAAATTTTTTAACCCTAAGTCACTCTGAGCCTTCCTTGACTTCACCTTCCATGTCTAAGATTAGGTTTCCTTTGCTTGAAGTCCTTGTAATAACCTCACCTGAGGCAGGTGAGATGCCTATACTCTTCAAGACCTACCCAACTACTCCTTGTTGCCACTAGACACATAACTAGGGTCAGATCCACCATATTCCAAAGGGAACAAGTACAAAGTCTGATTCCTGAAGGAAAGATTTTATCATCCAAAAGAACTACAAGACGTTTCTAATCTATATAGGCAGAAACCTGGTGACTATGTGTGGGAATGGGATTCTAAGAGCATTAGACCAAAGAACACAGAATATAACAAGCCAAATTCACTGATATGGGCATACTTATCAGTGATTCTGGGTTTAATGTGTTAGCTTGCATTAAGAATTTGTTTACTTGGATGGCAGAAATTTGGACTCAACAGTGACCTAAATATAATGAGTTTGAGATCCCAGAACTTCCCTGGCATGATGTAGAGAAAGGAATTCAAAGACTTAGGGAGATAGAAATGTTGGAGCAAACTTACCATGTGTGACCTTCAAAATTCCCTCACCCACTACTCCCCACTACTCTATGGTTCAAGAGGGCCCAGAGGACACTCCTTCACTAGGTATTGAGCAATACATTAATGAGAGATCACCAATATCCTTGACAATCTCTGTGGTGGCTGTTCTCTGTAGGCTGGTATGATGGCAGAAGATGCTGCCACTGAGATGAGTTCATTGACTGCAGCGGGGTTGATGGGATCCTAGAATGGCAGAGGCCAGTGGCAGTATCCTGTCATTAGAGATAAGATAGATGCATTTAACATAATGCACAGCAGGGACAAAATGGTAATTAGAATGTTGTAACCCACAGGGATCATTGATAATAGCTGTGATGGTTAATTTTATGTGTCAACTTGGCTGGGTCACCATGTGCCCAGATATTTGGTCAAATATTATTCTGGGTGTTTCTGTGAGGATGTTTTTGGATAAGATTAACATTTAAATTGATGGACTTTGAGTAAAGCAGATTGCCCTACAAAATGTGGGTGGGCCTCATCCAATCAGTGGAAAACCTGAATAGAATAAAAAGACCAATCTCCCTCAAGCAAGAAACAATTCTCTAGCAGACTGTCTTCAGACTGGCTCTCCCAGCTCTCTGGCTTGCTGGCCCACCCTGCAGATTTTGGACTTGTTAGCATCCATAATTCTATGAGTGAATTCCTTGTAATAAATCTCTTTCTATATATATACACATCCTATTGGTTCTAATACAGTAGCTAACTGGTACAGTGGACCTAGGAATCAAATAGATGGGCAGTCTACTAAAATATTACTTGATCTATAAAACAGGAAAAACTCTAGGTCTGGTGCTCAGAAATCTGACTAAAGTTGCTACAGAGAGAGTCATAGCCTGTCCTTTAGTTTCCAGACCTAAGCCAGTTGTAAGATCCAGAGCGCCTTGATTGACGGACATGCTGAGTTCCCTTAAGAACTCCACAACACTGCCACAAGTATATAGTATAAACCTTCCTCCAAGACTTCCCCAGAGATCTGCAGTCTTTAATAGAGTGACTATGTATTGCAGAAAAGAGAAAACCCTCAGATCTTTCGGGGATTGATTAATAGGCGCTGGTCCTGAATTAATGCTAATTCCTGGGACCCTAAAACACTACTATAGTCTACCAGTCAAAGTGGGGGCTAATGGTGGTCAGGTAATGAATGAAGTATTGGTCCAAGTATAAATTACAGAGAGCCTAGTAGGTCTAAGAACCTAGAGGTTATATCTCCAGTTCTTGAATGTGTACTTGGAATAGACATAATCAACTACTGGCAGAATCCCCAAATTTGCTCTCTGATCCATGAAGTGAGGGCTATTGTGGTAAAAAGGGCCAAGTAGAAGCTCCTAGAAATTCCCCTCCCTACCAAGGTAGTAAACCAAAAGCAATACCACATTCCTAGAGGACATTGCAGATATTAGTGCCACCATCATATCTTAAAATCTATCACATCCCCATTTAAATTCACCTGTTTCTCCTGTGCAGGTTGATGGATCTGGAGGACTATGGATTATTGTCAAGTTTATCAGGTGATGACTCCAAGTGCAGCTACTGTTCCAGATGTGGTATCTTTATAAGAAAAAATCAACATAACCCTTGGTACCTCATATACCATTAGTGACTTGGCAATGCTTTTCTTTTCTCTATACCAATTGGCAATGCCACCAGAAGCAGTTTGTCTTTACCTCGCAGAACAAAGAGACCAACTTCACAGTCTTGCCTTAGGGCTACATCAACTTACTGTCTGCCATAATACAATCTGCAGAGATCTTGATCACCAGACATTTCACAGAACGTCATACAGGTCCACCTCACTGATGACACGCAGATTGGATCTGATAAGAAGGTAGTAGCAAGTACTTCAGATGCCTTAGCAAAATGCATGTGAGTCAGAGAGTGGAAGATAAACCCTAGAAAGATTCAGAGACCCATCCGCCTTAGTGAAGTTTCTGATGTGCTGATGGTCTCGAGCATGTTTCAATAGTCCACTCTTTTTTTTAATTGAAATATATTTGACATATAACATTGTGTAAATTTAAGGTGTACAACATGTTGATTTGATACATTTATATGTTGTAATATGATTGCCATGTAGTGATAGGTAGCACCTCTATCAGGTCACATAATTCTTTTTTGTGGTGGGAATAATTAAGGTCTAGTTTCTTAGCAAGTTTGATGATTATAGTACAATATTATTGTCTATATTGCAGTAGTTTTTTCAAGGTGAAAGACAAGTTGCTGTACCTCACATCACCTACACTACAACAGAGGCACAACACTTCATGGGCCTTTTTGGCTTTTGGAGGGAACACACACATTTGAGTGTGTCAGTCTGACCCATTTACCAAAACTGCCAGTTTTGAGTGGAGACCAGAGCATGAAAAGGCTCTGCAGCAAGTCCATCTGTAATGCTAGCTACTCTGCCACTTGAGCCCTAAGATACAGCAGATCCAATGACTCTCGAATGTGGCAAATGGGGATTCTGGATGGAGCCTTTGGCAAATGCCAATAGGAGAATCAAAGCACAGACCTCTAGGTTTTTGGAGCAAATCTGTACCCTCTTTTGAAAATAACTATTCTCCTTTTGAGACATAGTTTCTGGTTTGCTACTAGGCCCTGTTAAAACCAAACACCTAAAAATGGGACTGGGTGCTATGTGATCCAGCAAGCCATGAACTGGAGTATGCACAGTAGCAATCTATCATCAAGTGGAAATGATATATAAGGGAGAGAGATCAAGCAGGTGTGGAAGGCGCAAGCAACCTGCCTGAGTAGGTGACCCAACTCCTTTGACACCTACTCCTGTGCAAGGCTTCTTTTTCTCAATCTATAACTTTGGTTGCATGGGGAGTTCCTTATTACCAGCTGACTAGAAGGAAGAAATTTAGGCCTTGTTGACAGTTTATTCTGCCCAATGTGCTAGGACTAGATGGTTGCTGTAAAAACTGCTGCAGCATTACAACCCCAACCAGCTATGTCTCTGAAAGATCTCAATGAATGGAAATCTTCCTAGGGAGCAGAACTTTGAGCAGTACATTTGGTTGTCTCCTGTGTCTGAACTGAGCACTATCCAGAAGTATGCGTCTAAACTCTAGTGTTCAAGGGCAGTTACTAATGGTTTGATGGATGGTCAGGGATTTGGAAAGAACAGATTCAGAAGACAAGTGACAAGAAGGTCTGGGAGCAAGGTATGGATGGACCTCTCAGAGAATTGGAGATGACTGCACTCCAGGTGAATGCTCACCAAAGGACACTGTGCAACCACGAGAATGTACTTTGCAGACAGACAACTACAGGGAACATAATTAACCAAGAGCTCTGGCAGCTGCACTCTGAAGTTCGTCACTGCACATGGGCTGACTCACACTTCCCATGGGCTGCTTCCAGCAAATAACTGAGCATGACAAGAATACTAAGGCATGCATGTTCATGGGATATATGGCTCTCCTGTGACAGCAGACTTTGGCTTGAAGACTTCCCCATGGCCCTGCTGAAGCTAAATTAACACAGAGGAGGCTCTCAATAATTAGGAGGACACGATGACATACATTCTAGCTATTAGTCAGCCTCTTTCTCCAGCCATCCTAATGATTGCCCAATGGGCCCATGTATGCGAGTGGCCATGCTGGCAAGGATGCAGGCTTTTACATAGAATACAACATGGTCTTCCCCTCACCAAGACGGACCTACTGAGTGCTCAACCTGCCAAAAGCAGAGACCAGAGACCAACACTGAGCCCCTGATATGGGCACTTGGTGGCAGGTTAATTACATTAGACCTCTTCTATCATGGAAGGGGCAGCAATTTACTCTCATTGGAAAAGACACATCACCTGGATATGGCTTTGCCTTTAGTACTTCTGCCAGCCTTATTAACTGTCATGGTATCCTGTACCACATTGCACCTTATCAAGGAATAGCAAAGGAGTTGTGTTATTCTGCTTGGGCTGCCACACCAAAATACCACAGACTGGGTGAAAATTATTTCTCACAGTTCTGGAGGCTGGGAAGTCCAAGATCAAGGCGTGGCATGGTAGGTTTAATTCTGAAGCCTCTTCTCTTGGCTTGTAGGTGGCTTCCATCTCTCTGTGCGCTCACATGACCTCTTCCTTGTGCACCAGAGAGAGCGAGCAAGCTCTGTGGTGTCTCTTTTTATAAAGGCACTAATCTCACTGGGCTACGGTCCCATCCTCATCACCTCAACTCACCCTAATTACCACCCAAAGGCCCATCTCCAAATATCATGTTGGGGTTTAGGGTTTCACCATACGAATTTGGGGGTGGACACAAACATTCATCCCATAAGAGTGTGGCAACAGACTGATGCCTATAGAACTTATTGGTCTTGTCACGCACTTCACCAAGAAGCAGCTGGTTTGTTGGCATGACAGAATGATCTACTTAAGACTCAGTTACTCACAAATGGGAGAAAATAACCTAAAAAGCTAAGGTCCTATTTTATAGGATGCAATATGTGCTTTGAATTGGTAACCAATGAATACGTTTTTTTTTCCTAAGTCAGAATACATTGGTCTAGGAATCAAGGGGTGGATGTGAGAGTGGCTCCTCTTACTATTGTACCTAATAACTCACAGAAATTTTGCTTCTCATTGCTGCAACTGTGAGCACTGATAGTTTGGGAGTCTTGGTTCCCAAGGAATGCTTTCCAGGGGACATAACAGTGGTTCTACTGAATTGGAAGCTGAGGCTTGGGCATGTGCTGTGAAGGTTAATGCCAGTGGGCCTGATATTGGCCTGGTCAAGGTGTGACATGTCCTGATGAATAGCGTTGTATTGTAATCATATGTTTGAGGAGTTTCAGGGTGGTTTGTACCAGTTTGTCATCACTGTTTATTGTTGCAGTGAGACGGATGATTTATACCTGTAGACCTCCTCCAAATCCACCCCCCTCACCCTTCCCGCAAACTTGGTTGTTGGGGCTGGTTTTCAGGCAACAGATAATTAATGGGACTGCTACTAAATTGGAGAAGTGAGTTGAGACTTTGTGTCTTCTCATTCTGGGGAAAAGGTAGAGCGTCTTTATTTTACAAAGGGTAGTTAACACCTTAAGAGAACCACAAAGCTATGTTTATTGTATAGAAATTCAAACATGGATAAAGGGTAGGAAGGGATGCTGAATAGCCAAAGGGGTGAAATGTGCTGGTTATTAAGCTATTGTCTTTCAGCTTCAAGTCCATCCTTCCATACTTTCTATAGTCTGCTTTGTGATGCTGGGGCTGGGAACCCACAAAGTATATTTATCACCTAGGTTTTTTAGGATCTGCAAATAAGGGGTGCAAGAGAGAGAGAGTGAAAATCTAGAGGAAAGACCAGGGACTTGCTCCTTGCTCTTTTCCTTCCTATTGCTGTCAATTTCATCTCTGCAATGGTTCTTCACCCTGGCAGTGAGAGTTAGTTCCAGTAGCAGCAGCTGCTTTAAGTTTTCAGTTTTTTCACACTTCCGGAGCCAGCTTCATGATGCACTCTCAGAGACGGCAGCACCAGCAGCCTGCCACCCCTTCTTCAGACTTTTGAGCTCTTAAAATAATACCAGTCAAGCAGGGCCCCTTCCTCAGACAACTGAGTCTCACTTCCAAGGGACGCCTCGTCCAAGCTTCCAAGTTTCAGTCATCACACTTCTTGTCCTGTTCACCCAGCCTCGTGATGCTAGCTGCTTCCTGCATTTACTGTCTCTGTGACCCCTCAGTACCCCCTTTTGCCTTTTCAGTTCTCCAAGACTTGGTTAATGCTTCTTTATTGTAGAGTCTATTTCTTTAAAAACTGGTTCGGTTTCCATTTCTTACTGGACCCTGTTTGATACATGAATACCTATACATTTATAGAACACATAGCTACAGCAAAATGTTAACAAGTTTTGAATCTAGAAAATAGGCATATGGGTGTTCATTTTATTACTCTTCCAACTTCTTGGTATGTTTGAGATCTTTCATAATAAAACACTGGGGATAAAGGTCTCCTGGAGATTTGAATAAATATCAGTTCCAAAATAAAAAGGTAAACCGATAAAGGGTGAAAGTCTCCTAAATTATAGGTTAGGGCTTTTGTTAGTAGAAGGAAATGATAAAATAAAAACTATGCTTGCTCCAGAAACCAAGCTGGTGCCATTACAAAAACAAACAAAAAACCCAAAACAAAACAAACAATAAAAAGTCTAGTTTTCTGTTTATATCTAGGAAAAATTCTTTATACTGTCAGCACCACCAAAATTCCAAAATCAAGCAAATAAAATATGGTCTCTGTGGAAAAAAATGAAAACGTTCTCTAGAGAAAACCTGTCCAACTGTTTCATCTTATAGGGGAGAAAACTGAGGCCCAGGACAGGTAAGAGCTGTCCAAAATCACATAAAATTAATGGAGTCAAATCTTTCCCATTAGTCATTCGTAATAAGACTGGAAACCAAGTATGTGAAGCAGGTCTCTTGGTTGCACGTGTCAGGAAACAGACTTCAGCAAAAGAGGGAATTTGTTAGCTCATGTAAGTGAACGGAAAAAAGCATAACTGCACTCAGGTGCTGAAGCAATGTCATAGAGAATCTGCCTCTTTCCTTTTCTTGGCTCTGTCTCTGCTGGCTTTCATCCTCTGGCAGGAAAGTTGGTCACTGGAAGCTCCAGACTCACATCCTGCTAGTTTAGCAAGTATAACATCTTTCCCATTAATTCCAACAAAAGTACTGGAGCTGCCTCCAATTAGCCAGGATGGGGCCATACATACTGACAGGGGTAAGGACAGTGCCTCAAGGAAAAGTCAGGGTGCTATTATTTAAAGAAGCAAGTGAATGAATGAAGGAATGCTAAGCAGGCCAAAATAAGAGATGATCTGTATTGCTATATGCTGAGGGGTATAGAGTTTACACAGCTAGTACGTAGCTGAGCCAGAACTGGAATCCATTTCTGTATTAGAGAAAGATTTAGAGCAAAACTGTAAAACAGAAGAAAAATAACCGTAGGTCTTTCTTTATTCTCAGAAGATAAATAAAGTACAAAATACAATGAACTAGACAATTACCTTATATTGCCCTTCAAATTAAGGTAGACTGCAAGCTTCAAATTGGACTTTTCCAAATGCTTGGTAGACATTAAAGCCAAGCTTACAATATTTTGATATAATTTAGTGCTAAAAAGGTTCTATACTTTAATTTTTTAAAAACTGAGATATAACTTACATATCATAAAATTCACCCTTTAAAACTATATGTCTAGGGCCGGCCCGATGGCTTAGCGGTTAAGTGCGCGCGCTGCGCTGCTGGCGGCCCGGGTTCGGATCCCCGGCACGCACCGACGCACCGCTTCTCCGGCCATGCTGAGGCCGTGTCCCACATACAGCAACTAGAAGGATGTGCAACTATGACATACAGCTATCTACTGGGGCTTTGGGGGAAAAAAAGGAGGAAGATTGGCAATAGATGTTAGCTCAGAGCCAGTCTTCCTCAGCAAAAAGAGGAGGATTAGCACGCATGTTAGCTCAGGGCTGATCTTCCTCAAAAAAAAAAACAAACAAAAAAACTATATGTCTATTTGGTTTTGATTCCCACTGGATCATGTCTGAAAATGCTGACCCATCCGCTCACGTCAAGCAGCTTTTGGTAGCTTACAAGAGCAGCCAAGAGGTCAAAAATCCACATGTTCAAGTCAGTTGTAGAGAAAAAGCCCCTTATATCTTCTCTTTCCCATCCTTGTTTCCCAATGATTTCTTGCAATCTGGTAGTTACTGGCTCCACCAGAGTTCTGCCTGCTAATTTTGTAACAGAGGCTCAGGTGGGGCATTTTAAATCTGAACTAATTCTTTTCCTAGTGATGTTTAAAATCAGAAATTTGGCAAAATCTGTAATACAAGTAAGTTTGCTTTCAACTAATCATGCACAGAGAGTGACATCTGCTGGTCATAAAGATTACAACTTTATCCTGCCTTGATTCCTTTTTGCAATTGATCAATGACCTTAATTATATAGTAAAAATATAAGAAAAACAATGATCTCTTCCTTGGGAGAAAAAGAAACCTACATATAAGACTTACATGTGCCAATATTATGTACCACAGTGGGAGATTATTTAAACTAAAAAAAAAAACATCTAAGTTTCTTCTTCATTCAGCAGACACTGCACCCTCTTTCATTTGATCAGGGGAAAATAAACTGCTGTAGAATTTGAAAATGAATTAAAAACTCAGTTAGCCATGGGGCTGGCCCAGGTGGCGTAGTGGTTAAGTTCCCATGCTCCACTTTGGTGGCCCGGGGTTCATGGGTTTGGATCCTAGGCGTGGACCTATACATCGCTTGTCAAGCCACACTGTGGCAGCGTCCCACATACAAAAAGTAGAGGAAGATGGGCACAGATGTTAGCTCAGGGCCAATCTTCCTTACCAAAAAAACAAACAAACAAAAACGCTCAGCCGTTTCCTACAAAAACCTTTGGATTTTTGTTTCAGACCAGAAATTAATGAATTTAGTCTAAGAGAGAATTCTAGTGGACTTAATGAAAGACTGGCTATCACAGGTCATTTGCTTCTGGCATTTCATCCTAGTCCTGCTGTTGTGTTCTTAGCTCCCAGGCTGCACACACGCCCTTGCTCCATCCCTACTTCCTTCCCATCTTCAGATATGCATACTCATCCAGATTTATTCCTACATTAGCTCTGGAAATTTTCCCTACTGCCCTTGATGTTAGATTATACTAGGAAATCTTACAATTTATATGCTGTAACTACATTTTTAAGTGAAAGGCATATATTCGTATTTACTGATAAAAGTATTCGATGGTGATAAAACTGAGTTTTATGTAGAAAATATAAACTTCAATTTGCGGTACTCAAGTAGCATCTAAATTTGGTAATCAGATTCCATTCTCTTTCAGGTTTTTCCAGTTTTTCACTATTATAAAAATGCTGTGATTACCCACCTTATAAATAAAACTTTGTGGACATCCCTGCTTCTTTCCATGTGATAAATTCCTAGACAAAAAAATCCTCAATCAAAAGGCTACGAACAATCAATAGAGGAACTAAACTTAGTACTATTAATAAAAAATTGGTAATAGCAGGAGAGGAGATGTTTTACAAATTGAATCCTTGTCTATTATCTAGGGAAGTAAATATATAACTTCTAAAGCTGATAAATCAAAACTGGTATATGTGTTTGGTATGAACATATTACTTAGAGATGTGGGTGGAACCACAAAAAGTTAAAGCAGAAATAGTTAAGGTGATTGGTCAGGAAGGGGACTGTGGCTTTTCATCATAGGACTCATTTTTTTCCCAGCCTTGAGGATATAGTACTTTGATAAAACATTAAAGTTTTGAAATAAAAATGTAAACTTATTTAAATTAAAAAATTTATTTTGCCAAATTATCATCCGGAAAAAGTATATTCATTTTGATTTCCATGGGGACTTTTTGATGGCCCTGACTTACTCTAGTGATTTCTTGTCAATTTATTTATTATTTATATTCTGGTCCATTCAAAAGTTTTGAACTATTTTAGAAAAAAACATACAGTATAAAATGTAAAATAAGTGAGGAAACTGGGGTAAAGGAAAAATAAATGTAGGACAAATAAGATGAGGCCAGCGAACCAAAGAATCCATCAGAACTATCTGGAAACGTAGTTAAGAATGAAGATCTGTGATCTTATCCCAGACCTGCTGAATCAGAATCTCTAGGACGAGGCTCTGGAATCTCCTTTTTAGCAGCCTCGATGACTTGGAGTCCTGATGTAATTTAAAAGACGACAAAGAGTGATAATAGGATGTTAGGATGTTTATTAATGTCATGGTATTTGGAGCACGGGAGCTAGGAGAATGGACAGTCTGAGACTGACTCCAAAGAATGCATTTAAAAATAAACATGGGGGAGGGCAGCCCAGTGGCGCAAGGGGTTAAGTGCGTGCGTTCCGCTGCGGTGGCCCGGGGTTTGCCGGTTCGGATCCCGGGCACGCACCGACACATTGCTTGGCAAGCCATGCTGCAGTGGTGTCCCATATAAAGTGGAGGAAGATGGGCACGGATGTTAGCCCAGGGCCAGTCTTCCTCAGCAAAAAAGAGGAGGATTGGCAGATGTTAGCACAGGGCTGATCTCCTCACCAAAAAAAAAAAAAAAGGAAAAAAATAAACATGGGGCCGGCCGGGTGGCATAGCAGTTAAGCGCGTGCGCTCCGCTGCAGCAGCCCGGGGTTTGGATCCCGGGCACACACCATCGCACCGCTTGTCAGGCCATGCTGTGGTGGCGTCCCATATAAAGTACAGGAAGATGGGCACAGATGTTAACCCAGGGCCAGTCTTCCTCAGCAAAAAGAGGATTGGCACGGATGTTAACTCAGGGCTAATGTTCCTCTCTCTCTCTCACACACACACACACACAAATAAATGTTATATAAACTAGAATCATCCCTTCTCCTGCTCTAACATCTCATGATCCTCTTCTGATGTCATTAACCTCCCATAACAACCCTCACAGAGATGGGAAGACTCAGTCTGTCATTCTGTCCTTTGACTTTTACCCTTAACATGATGATGTGTGTTCTGGGAGGTCTTCTCTTTTCTCTAGGCTCCATTCCTAGCCTATTGCACCATTTAGCTGGCTATTCTAGTGCTTGGGTGTCTTTTTCACGTGTTGCATCAACAGGTTAGACAGATACTTAGAATTAGAAAAATCCTAGGTATCAACTAGGCAGCGGTACTTAATCTTTTCTGCTGCTTGTGTTCTTATTCTCAAAATCTGTTTTCACACGCCTCATTAAAAGTTAAAGTTGCTAAATTTTTAAACATAGGATTCGGTATACCATAAATATAAAAGGAAAGACACAGAATTATAGCTTAATTTTACAATGGAATTAAGAATATATTAAAAATTATACATTAAAAAAGTTCATCAGCTTACAGTGACTTCTGCTGTAGCTGTAGCTTTTGTTCAATGATGTCTGAGAAACGAGGAACTGTTTTTGAAATAGCCACACGGATGTCATCACTCATATTAAAGCAGCTTCTGGACTTTGTTTTAAAATGTAAAAGTGATGAAAATCCCAATTCACAAAGATATGTAGTTGCAAAGGGCATAAGGATTTCCAGAGCTGTCTTTGCCAGGTTTGGAAACGCTGTGAACTGAGCACACCAGAAATCCTCAAGCTTCATTGTCTCAAATTCCATTAGGATTTGGCCACTAGCTCGTAATTCAGCAAGATCATTTTTCATTAAATAACCATCGTCGACAAAATCCAGGTTAAAAAGAAATGGGTCCAGTATCCATTTACTTGCCTCATCAAGATCTCCGACGGAAAAATACCCGTGGAAGAAGCTGCTCAACTGTTGCAGATGCAGTGTTATGTCAGCGGCAATGCAGACTGCTTCCTTATCTGAAACGATCATTTCTTCAAGAAAGGGAAAGTTGGTAAAATTCCTTTTCTCAATTCGCTTTAGCCAAAATGGAAACTTCCTAACAAAAGCAGATAACTTCTCTCTGGCTGATACTGTGTTCATTCCAGTCCTCTGCATAGACGCGCTAAGTTCATTTAGGTGTTTGAATAAATCTGCCAGGTACGCTAGGTGAATTTTAAACTCTTTGTTTTCAAAGCCATCAACTAAATTACTGCTTTGGTGGTGAAGAAACTGATTTATTTCTTCATACATTTCAAAAATATGAGTAAGTATTTGGCCTCGGGAAAGCCACCTCCTTTCAGTATGGAAAAGGAGGACACTATACTCTATTCCAATTTCTTCAAAAAAAGCCTGAAACAGGCGATGATTTGGAGCTCGCCCTTTGATGAAATTTATTACCCTCACCACAGTAAACAGAGCATCCCTCAGTTTTGCAGGCAATGTCTTTGTGACAAGTTCATGAGGGTTTAACAAACAATGTGTGATCACGATATGAGGCACCTCTTTTTTCACACAAGCAACAAATTCTGAATTTTCTCCTAGCATAGAAGAGGCACCATCAGTACAAACAGAGCCACATACTTCAAGTGCTATCTTATGCTTCAAAAAGAAGTCTCTGAAGAGATTGAACACATCTATTCCTTTCATTGTTAACTGCAAAGGTTCACAGAATAGGAATTCTTCTACGATCTCTCTTTCTTTTATGTATCGCACAAATGCCATTAGCTGACTGCAGTCATCCATGTCAGTTGTCTCAGCAAGCTGAATACCCACTTTAAGAGGACTGGCTTTGATATCTTCTAGAACTTGCTGTAAGATATCCTGGCTCATTTCATCAATTCTAGAATGGATCACATCATCTGATAAGGGTACCTGCTGAAGCTTCTTTTGTGCATCTGGTCCCAAAACTATTTGCGCTATTTCTAATGCACAAGGTTTCACTAATTTTTCAGCTATTGTATGAGGATTCTTCTCCTTGGCACATAAATATGCAAACTGATAAGACGCTTGTAACAAGGCATCCTCATGAGATGCAACTCCAAATGCTTTCAAGGTTTCACTCTCATCAGAACGTGCTGGCATACGCTTCAGGCTATTGAGATCATGCCCACCTACACCACCATGCTGTCTGTTAAAATGGTCAGACAGTTTTGATGGTCTGAGGTCAGCATTTGAAAATATCGAGTTACACAATACACATTGTGGGCGCTGAGTTCCATCAAGCTCCGTTGAACAGGTGAACCAGTAACGAACATAGTCGTCATCCCATTTGCGTTTCTTCGACATGGCACCCCAAAATTCTCAGGTAGTATTCCAGAGATGCTGCAGAATTTTGCTTTGGGAGTAAAATATAACCCACACATTAAAAATCAGTGGCTAAGCAAATTAAAACAAAGCCACATCACATGCCATCCTGTCATCTGTGTACATTTCAAGAAATATCCTGTAACATGTCAGTTCAAAGTAAGCCATGACAGCATGACAGTCCAACTTAAAGATAGCAACTCACACAGCTAATGCCCTGGAAGAAATGACTTGTCAACAAGTTATATATGAGAGATTTGGGCTTATGCAAGTTGTAAATACCCGTAAGTCCTCTATTGGTGAACTGCAGTTAACGGCTTAATTTGTTTTCAGTGATGTATGTTCCAAACAAATCTGGTACATTTTGTATCTAGAAAGGGCATCTCACTACCATACCCTCCTTCCATCCTGTGCCAAGAAGGTATGCACACCCCAAGTTATGCACCAGTGAACAGAGAAGGGGGTAATTCACTAAATACGGAAGGGCAGAGTTGGACACGGTGGCTAGTTCTTTGTTAGTTAAGGATTAATCAGGTCTATAAAACTATTTGATCCTTGCACAGCTTTGACTCCAACTTGAGAATTTCAAACAGGTCTGATTAAGCCAACCTTGACACTGAAGTAGGATACAAATTTGGCTCAGAGCTTTCCTGCTGCTAAAGTGTAACACACATCAGTCCATGATTCATACGGTCCATACAGAAAAGCAAAACAAGTTGCTCAGGGGAAACACAACTATTCTTATTACCAAGACTTCAGAAAAATTTCTTTCATAGGACACCCTTAATTACAATAGGAATTTCAGGATGCTTTTTCATATAACTACCCCTCAGTAAAAGCAGTCAAGAAAGAAGCTGAAACAATGGAATGAAAATAAGCAGCATTCCTAAGATTTGGCTTAATCCAAGGACAGGATGTAGAAGGCAGTGGTTCTCTAGTTTAGTAAATGGAGGAATCATCTCACTCTCTTGCTAAAATACAGATTCCTGGGCCCAGATATTCTGATTCTCTAGCTGTGAAGGGCCCAGAATCTGTATTCTAAATAAGCAATTGAGATAATTCTTATGAATCCTAACTAGAGCAGTGATCTTTAACAAGATGCCCATCACAATCACTGGGAACCTCTTTGAAAGTACACGTCTCTGTATTTCCTTAGAAGTAATAAATCATCTTTTCCAGAAGTAGGACAAAAGAATCTAAAATAATGCTGTCCAGGTAGGTGATTCTGATACATATTCTAGTAAGTAGTGGGATTTAGAGGAATGAAACATATCCTTCAGGCCAATCCCTAGCTTGCAGGTATTCTAGGTTGCTAAGTAAAAAGTCTAGGCATTTCAGTTTTCTGAGTTGACGACAACCTCCCATGAAAGCTGAGGGACCTAAAAAGAAAGGCATGCCTTTTTTCCTCCCTTCTTAGCAAGAGCAAAGGTATAATCCACAGAAAGGCTCCAATACACCTTAGAAAACAATTCTATCTCCCAGATAAATAAGTAATCCCCAAAGTTTCCAAAGTTCTATGCCACAGAATGTGGCTGAAATAACAGGGGCACATTTAAATCCAAACGCCCACTTTAGCTATAAAAAAAAAAAATCACAATAAGCAAGCCAAGAATATTTACTTAAAGCACTAGCTTTCTAGCCACTCTGCCAAGATTAACTAGTTGTAAAATGTACTACTATGTACCTAATAAGTTGATCTGCCATATGGTTGTTAGGAGCCAGTTAAAAAAATGGGAAGATGTCTGCCAATCAACAAAGACGATTTTAAGTTTAAAGAGTTGATCTTAAGCCTTCTTTTGTCAAGTGATGAGACTACAGGGCCAACTGTGTTTAGAATCTCTCCTAATTGAAAGCAATAAAATGATAACATCAGCATCAAACATGCTTATCTTTCTGTATTCTGTTACGTAAATTTACCATGTATATTTTGAGGGCGAGAGGGAGTGAAGGAAAAAGCTTTGTTTCAGTCTCATTAGAAATCATTATAGGACCAGTTAAGAGTCTATTCCTATCCATCTTGACTAGGCTACTGAAGTATACTTTGATTGAAGATTTACCTGTTTTGAACAAAAGAATTTTTAGAAAAAGTCATTTATAGTTTTCTTCTCCATCCCCCTCAAAAGGGAGAACAGACAGCAAGAATTTTCAAGATCCTCAAAGATGAACTTACCGCCCAAGAGGCTTTCTTGTGTTTTAGAACCTCACAATTTTCACTTGCTCCTTTGTGGTATTTAGCAATCACAACATCCTAAAATATGTAAACATTAAAAAAAGCATCATCTTATTAAGGAATTATTGTTAATCTAAACACGTGTGAAAAATGGTATGGCTGTGTTAAAAAAAGTTCTCATTTATTAGAGATACAGACTTATTTACAAGTGAAATGATAAGATGTCTGGGATTTCCTTTGCAATACTGTACTTCAGCACACACACACACACACACACACACACACACACACACATAAAGTGGGGCGGAGACAGAAGAAATAAGATTGGCCTTGACTTGTCACTGTTGAAGCTGGATGATGGGTACACATTTCATATACCATTCTCACTTTTTTCTGTACGCTGAAAAATTTCCATAATAAACAGTAAAATAAAAAGCATTATCTTATTAAGATAGACACCATTCGGTTTTAGAATGATTCTTTTGAGTTCGTTGAGAGAGATCTTAAGATGCAGAATAAAAGATCTGATAGAACAACGATCTCATATAACAAAGTAAAATGTTTTTGCAAGTTTTTGAAGTATAAGGGTAGATATGAAAAAGGATCACAATTGGGAGAAAAAAAAAGTTAAAAGTAAACATTCCCATAACAGAAATATTTGGAGAATGCTAAAACATCTATTTCAGCAGTGACAACACAAAAGTGCAGTTGTAAACCTAAACTCCAAACCAAATGCAATTCAGCTTACATCTAGCCACCGCCTATGCCAGCCCACGGTAGGTGCGGTGTCTGGGGAGGCAGAGGATTTAATCATTACATTTTACAGTTAAAAAGCAACAGCCAGGAGAAAAGGGACGGGACTGTAGCAGCAGAGGCAAACGCCTGAGATCCTGGCTTTGTCACTTAGAGGCTGGGACCTTTCCAAGCATCAATTCGGCAACTGGGGATGACAATGGTACCTACCTGACAGGGTTGTTGGGAGGTTTAATTATGAGCATGCATGTAAAGAACACCAGCTCGTAACTGGTAGGACTGTTGGTGGATTATTAAGGACGGAACGTTTACCAGGAGGCCGGGGCGAGAGGAGGGCGCCGGCGGCGAGGAAAGAAGACTCTGCTCCGTCTCCACCCGCCCGTCGCCGAGCCAGGGGCGCAGGCCCAAGGGATGCTCAGGCTTCTTTTAGGCGCCCGTTTCAGGCTCCAGTTCGCTCCGTGCTCAGGTTGGGGCTTAGCCTGTAGGCGCCAGAACAAGTCTAGGCAGCGGTTCCTCAGGTCCGACCCCAGAGCAGGAACGTGGGGAGCACGGTAAGACTGTAGCGCCCGCAGCGACCTCCGCCCAAGCCGCGCCGGGGCTCCATCCGGGTTCTCCAGGCGGCTTCCCGCCCGCAGCCCGGGCGAGGTGGCTCCCCGCACGCAGGCGCATTAACAAAAGGCTGGAAGCCCGGCTGGCTCGAGTAAGGAGCATGCGCGCTGGCTCTCCCCAATTTTTTTTTTTTAGATTTTGTACGCGGAGCTGGGAATTATTTGCTTGTTGTGTCTGCTAGAAACGATGAGTCGTAGACTCTCAGGAATGGAAGGCATTGTGAAGTCCACATAGTTCTACACTTTAACATTTAGAGCACTGGAAATAAAGTTTTGTGTCAGGCTTTTTGCTTGGAGATTATAATGCTCCAATAATCACCATTTTCTATGAGGAATCAATGAGGAAAAAGAGAAGGAAGCTCATTCTACTCCCAAATTAAACATTCAGGCAAATGGGACAAGCTGTACATTCCATTAAGATATTAACGGTGGAGGATGAGCTTGCGTCCGCTTCCCCATGCAGGTTGCCCCCGCTTCCCATGAATCAGCATGTGGATGAATTTCCTAAGAATCATCATCCATCTTAGAGAGATTTTAAATTTTATTTAAAATTCTTTTTAACAACAGGATCTTATAGTAATAAATCCATATTAGAGAGCGTTTACAGAAAAACTCCAAAGTAGAAACTAGAAAACATTATTGAAAGAAACAAACCCAAATATAGCCCTCTTTCCTATTTTGGGGATATTTTCTTCCAGAATTCTTATAAACTTAATGAAATGACATTTTATTCATGTTTGTATAGTCACTCTTGTGAGAAGCATCCTACAAGGCTGGGGGAGGGGCAAGTGTCCAAGAACGTTGGTCAGGTGCAACATTTTCAGGTGTTGCGGGTGAACCTGATGAAGATGGAGAGTCTGCTTAAGGTTTCTGTCAATGGAAGAAATGGCAAAAGACCAGCCTTCCTGGTCCACAAACCTGGGCCTTAAATACCAGAGAAAGGAGTAGGCTTTAGAGGCAGAGATACTTGGCTTTATGTCGGGGCCCCAACACAAGTTACCTGGACTCTTAAGCCCATGTGCTTATTGTAAAATATGAATATCGTCCATTACTCACCCCATGAAGCTCTTTTGAGGAGATAACATACGAAAATTACAGCACATAGTTCCAGCACTCAAACGGCAGCTATTATTGAGATAATAAAATCAAAGCTCAAATCTTGAGTAATGTTCTAGATGTTACCTTTTTTTCAAAATGAAACAGAAATTAGACATGATTTCAGACATTATAGAACTCTTCCTAAAATCAGAGTAACTTAGGTTTCACAAAAGAGAGAAAAGAAGCCCAGAACGGTTAGGTGACACGTTTTTCGAGTTAAAGAATCCTGAAATTTTCTAGTTCAAACTCACAGAAGCTAACCTAGGCTCCCTGCCAGTCCTATAAACTACTTTTCTGCCAAATATTTGAAATAATGCTACAGACCACTCACAGTTAATTCTCAATTATGTCTTTATTAACAAAAGATAAATAAAATACAAAACAGACACCAATGTCAGACTTTATGTTGAACCATCCTATGTTATGGTAGGAATCTGAAAACATAAATTTGTGACATTCTTAAAGTAGGTAAGAATTAGACCTATTTCCATGGCTGTTTTAATTTCATAGTAGTCTGAATCTAGATACCATGTATATCTATAATACTTCACAATTTGACTCATTTACTCTCCCACGAGCACTATTTCTGAGATGCTAACTTAAGGCAGTATCCTAGTGGGTTTTGGTAGCTTAGAAAAGCCAGTGAGCTGTTGAAAGTCAATGTACGATGTACAGGTTTCACTGATCCCACTCTCACTGTCAGTGTTATCTTCACAATGTTCTTAGAAGAGGCCTGAAGATCATGGCAATCTCAGTTACTAATATCCCTATAAGCTATCCTTATAATTCTTCAAAGAAACCTTCCATTTGAGGTCTTTTTGCAAATTTTACAAAGTGACACCTGCTGGCTATAAAGATTAGGTGCAATGGATATTCTTTTTTTTTTTTAAAGATTTTATTTTATTCATTTTTTCCCCCCAAAGCCCCAGTAGATAGTTGCATGTCATAGGTTCACATCCTTCTAGTTGCTGTACGTGGGACTCGGCCTCGCGTTGGACGGAGAAGTGGTGCCTCGGGGCGCGCCCGGGATCCGAACCCGGGCCGCCAGCATCAGAGCGTGCGCACTTAACCGCTAAGCCACGGAGCCGGCCCTGCAATGGATATTCTACAATCTTATAAAATCCAATATTCCTGATTGTTACATAAAGGCAATCACAATCAAAACAACAAACAGTATCACAAACTATATCCTCTGTGATAAAGGAAAGGATTTCTGTATCTAAAGACTCATGCCCAGAATGGTAAAACACCGAGTACTGATCAATCAACACTGACTCAAGGAAGACAAAATAGTTATTTTTCCATTCCAAGGCTAACAGATTTAGTTCTGGGTGTAAGGTATGGGGAAATATTTAAAAAAATCAAAATTTTATAACCAAGTAGAAAACAGAATTATTACTACACAGATTGACATTGGGGATAAAGTTATTCACATGTTCTACAGATTTCCTTTCAGCAACCCAAACCCCAAGATAGAATAATTTTTTTTGCTTCAGACCAGGAAACCCTTAGAAGGCAAAAACAAATGACTATCAAATAACTACAATTATAGTTACTAGCAATTAAAAAAAAATGAAGCCCTGGTTTTAAGAAAGAGTAATTAATCTGTCTTCAAGATGTGTGCTAACACTAGATAAAGCGCCATAAAAATTGAGGAAGTAAAGTTTGAGACATAAATGTTGAGTGGAAGATATTCTTGATAGGTAGAGAGACAAGGTCTCTTTCCACACAACTAATATAAAATTGGAAATGAAATCTTAATCTGCATTAATATAACTGTTTTTCTTCTTTGTTTCTTTTGTGTGGAAAGGAATTAATTTACTATGAGACTTCTGGAAGCTTTATTATACAGTCAGGCAGCAAGAAGAGTAGACAGAGATTTTCCCATCCATAATCACTGGCAAGAAGCTAAAAGAATCTATCAGCAGTGTCTATCTTGGGTGACTGTCTATGACTAGTTACTACTGTCCAAGGAAGGAGGCCATGGGGTCATCTGGCCTCTGACGTTTCATTCTATAGGCCTCCATTTCCTCTTCCGTGGGTTCCCGAGTTTCATATATGCTATTGTAGGGCCGCTTCCTCTCATCAATCTGCATGATCTCCTTGACATGAAGAAGGCGGGCCTCCTCTGCATTCAGTGCCTACAGTGAGAGGAAAAACATAAGTACCATGGCTCTACATCAGATCTCTTTTGTTCAAATGTGGCAGAGTACCAAAAGACCTCACTGAATACAAATTGCTGCATCAAAAAGCTAGATTGCCTGAGACAGTTGGGAGTTAGCCCTTCCACTGTCAAGCTACAACTACTCACTATTTGGCTCATATATTTTCATAGAGTACAAAACATTCTATGACATTTCCAATGTGAAAGAAATTTTATTTAATAACAAAAATTGAATGAGGTCCATTTTACTGACAGAAGCCAGCAACTGATAATTCTGGTGGAGACTGCAATTCTGATTTTTCCCCAAGGACTTGTTGAAACTTACAAATTATAGACTTAAAAGGCAATTCTTCCTGGGCAACATGTCAATAACTCTAAAATAACAGCTTTCACAAGCACAATTCTTCTGTGCATTAGTGATATTTAACAAATAATCCACGAAGCAGGCAATACCAAGACACACAAAATCTCCATTTGCATTCTAGACCAGATGGATACAATGTGACCTGAGCAAATCACCCAGACTCAAGCTCGTTTCCTCATTTTTAAAATGAGCTTGGAGACAGAACTAGATAATTTCCTAAGGTCCCTACAAATAAAGAATAGTGTTGCCGGGCCGGCCCCGTGGCTTAGCGGTTAAGTGCGTGCGCTGCGATGCAGGTTGCCCGGGTTCGGATCCCGGGCGCACACAGACGCACTGCTTCTCCGGCCATGCTGAGGCCGCGTCCCACATACAACAACTAGAAGAATGTGCAACTATGACTTACAACTATCGCTTGGGGCTTTAGGGGAAAAATAAATAAATTAAAAAAAAAAAAGAATAGTGTTGCCACTTTTACTATTTATTTAGACTTCACAAAGTACCTTTTTTAACTTTTCATGTTTGTTTTCTTCATCATCACTATCTGAACTGCTCTTTCGATGCTTCTTCTTCTTCTTTTTCTTCTTTTTCTCCTCTTTTAGTTTTTCCTGATGAATCTGACAGGGAGGATTCAAATATAGTGTTATTAATGCAAAAACAAAGCGCTAGTGCAAGTTTTAAAGTCCTCCCTCCAGGACTTAAAAATTTAGGACAAATGATTATAGACTTACCTCCATGAGGGTCTGAGGTTTTTTCACCGATTCTTCTCCAGTGATATCATTTATAATACATTCCTCTGAATTCTGTGGGAAAATAAATGTAATTTGACTTGAGTATCATAGTCAAGTCAAATTTTCTTAGATGAGTTTCTTTTCTTAGATGAGTTACCAATCATCTAAGAAAAAATTAAAACTTGAAACATGAGAAGATATGTTTCATCCAGACTTTGACTTAAGAGCTTTGGCTGTTTTACATCAGTAAGAACTAGAGGACAATTACTTACAGCAATCTCCTTCCCAGCTTCTCCAGTACAATAGGAATACTTGAAAAAAGAGTGACAGCATTTGTATCCCCATCGGCCTTCTTTCCAGTAAGATCCCCAGATATGCTGCAGAGAGAGACAGAGGTTACTTAAAAAGGAACTTGAAACTAGGGACTCTCATATACTGTTAAGAGTATAAAATAATACAGCCCTTTTAAAGGTGATTTGGGAGGAAAATTATGAGGATTCTAGGGCTACCTAGAGGGTGGCCTGACCTCAAGTGTGAGAAGCAGGCATTACAGTTATAATGGTCTTTAAGAAATATTTAGGATATCTGATTTCTCTTGAAAGATTTAGAAGGACTCAGAAATTCTGGGTCCACATTCCCACTTGTCAATAATTGGCTGTTGATGGGCCAGCCCTGTGGCTTGGTGGTTAAGTGTGCGCGCTGCGATGCTAGTGGCCCGGGCTCGGATCCCGGGTGCGCATCGAGGCACCACTTCTCCGTTCATCCTGAGGCCGAGTCCCACATACAGCAACTAGAAGGATGTGCAGCTACGACACACAACTATCCACTGGGAGTTTGGGGGGAAAAAATTAAAATAAACAAACAAAAAAAAAAAAAATTGGCTGTTGCTGACGAGTGGATGCCCCTATTAGACAGGGTTTGTCTTCATTAGTCGATACAATTTGCCCGGCTCACTTCATTCATATACGATTAGTGGCCTAGCTCCTACAGGTAGTTAGGTTTTTGATCCCTGACTTGGAGAGACAATTGTCTGGGGGCATCAGAGTACAGCAGGTGACATTATATGCTTTTTGAGGTGATGCAATATGAAGTATAATGCATCACCTGTGAAGTGTTCTTGTCAAAATATTTAACTTATATTCAATCAAGCCTTTAGATCTGAATTCCTGTTTATAGGAAATACAAGGGACAGAGGAATAAGTTATACGATATCACTAGGAACCAGTCAAATACAGAATATGAGACAGTTTACAAGATAACTGGCCTGATCTGTTAAATAGTCACTGTCATGAAAAAGGAGAGACACACTCTAGAAAAAAAGAGATATAACAACCAATAACAATCAAAATAAACTTCAACTGGATTCTGACCAAAAACAAAAACAAAAACTAACCAAAACCAAACAGCTAGTTAAAGACATTTTTGCGTATTTTTTGGAAAATGTGATTACGGACTAGAGATTAAGGAGTTAATGTCAATTTTCTGAAGTGTGATAATGGTACTGTAGTTATAAAGGAGAACATCCTTAATTTTAGGAGATACATGAGACGGTGTTTATGGGTGAAATGTCACGATATCTGTAATTTTCAAATGTTTCAGTCAAAAAATATATAATATATAAAATATATATATATCAGCACACATACACACACATATACAGACCTAGACAAAGCATATATGTCAATATGTAAAAAATTTTTGAATCTAGGTGGTGGGTATATGGGTGAACATACTAGTATTGTTTCACATTTTTTCTATTTTTTACACAATTTCATAAAGTTAAAATGTATAACAAAACAAAACAAAAAAGTTCAATAATGATTTGCTAATGAAGTTGTAACAGAAAAATACAATCTAGAGCAAAATGGTTCTGGTTCAACACATACTGTGTGATTGTGGATCTTCACATCCTCCTCATACTTAGAGCAGGCGACAGCCCGCTCCTGTCCCTTGATGACTGTCCCATGTCTTGAGTACTCCACATAGTCTTCGGTCTGAGCTAACAGCAATTCAGCTGGAGGGGCATCCAAGTGTTCTTGGCCACCATACTAAAAGAATATTCAACATGATTAAATACATTTTACAAAGATTTGCATTCAAATCTCTACCGAAGGGTTTATTTCCAATCAGAATGATTAAAGGAATATTCTTTATGGGCTTTGTTATATAAAACACAGTGAAAAAAAAATGTCACCAAATTTTCACAGGCAAATAAAAGATGTCTCAGTTGCTATTCATCTGTTTAGTGTGGTAGATTACAAACTGGCCATAAATTCCTCTTATCCTTGTATGCATGCTCATTTGCTACATGACTTTGCTGCTCCTCCCCTCAAGAGACAGAGTCTGCTTCTCCATCCTTTGAATCTGAGCCTGGCCATGTTACTTGTTCTGGCCTATGGTAAATCGGCAAATATGATGCAAACCAAGGCCTAAAAGCACTTGTGCACTGGAGCATACTTTTTGTTGTTAGTCTCTGGTTTCCTGAGAATGCCATGTAAAGAAGCTGGGCTAGACTACCAGAGGATGAGAGCCCATGTGGGGCAGAGATGAGCTGTTCCAGAGAAGGGCTGCTAACTGACAGATACCACAGTGAGGCCATCCTAGATCATCCAGCCTCAGATGGGCAGGCTCAGACCAGGAGACCCAGCCGACATATAAAATGGTGAGAAATAAAACATGTTTATTTTAAACTACTAAGTTTTAAGGTGGTTTGTTTTGCTGCAAAAGCTCACTGATACAGCTATACTGATACTGTATACCAACTGATTAAGCCAACGGAAGGAATGCAATATTCCTGATGGATTAAAAGGGACTGTATATTGTATTCCAAATGTAAACTGAATGCTTATTAACTGGTAATTTCTCTTTAAGGAATGTTCTTTAGCATTAGGGTCAAAACTACCTTTTCCAGGATGCTTTCCTTCTGCTGTTCTTTGAAGTCTTCTTTTTTGACTTTGAAGGACTTATACAACAGCTCAAGTTTTGTAGGATCAGCTTGCAGATGCACTTCAGATCCCTTGTCATAGGCTTCCCAAGCAAACACTAGAGTAATTAAAAACATCTTAATGAGCTGTCAGCTACATTTATTGCATGCGTCCCGAAAACAAGCCCCCAAATTTCTTATGAGCTGGTATAAAATACCTTGACATAGAGCAAACACTTACACTGTGTCTGAGCCATTGAAATGGTATCGCCTGTGTATCTAACAAAGTTATCTCCTGCATAGCTCACTCTGTAAATACAAATTAAAAAAAAATTGTTTCAGAGATTGATTTCTTTAAGGAAAGTTAATTCTTTTCTAACCCAACCATAGATGATGCTCATTTTAATTCAGATTCAGTTTTATGATTACAAACCCCTCTCCCCCATCTTGAAATCTACACATTTAACTTGATACTTACTCATCTGGATTCTTTCCTGCATTGGCATAGGGATTCTCTCTCATTGCTCTAGTTTTGGGATCATAGTAAGCAGAATTTGGATCTAAATTCCGCAAATACTAGAAGGGAAAAAATGTTATAAGACTGCATGAATTTTTACTTTCATCAAAAGATACTTGAGCAAAGTGTAGGAGGAGTTGATCATGATCAATTAAGTGCAAACGTGCACTTGTCGGTTACAGATGAAGAGAAAAAAACAGAATGGTACTTAATCTTGGAATGATTGACTATACTACCCATTTACTGCCCAGATACCAAACGAGTAGACAGAATTTAGGGTGGGAAGACAAATATTTTTCAAATATGTATGTCAAGTTCACAAGGCTTACTTTTGCAATATCTTCTCGAATCCTGAGATTCCGGACAGTAATTCGTCTCTTAGAGTCAAAGTTCTGTCCAGGCATGTCAATATCATCTGCATATTTATCTTCATCCTCATCTTCACTATTATGATCTTTTTCCTGAAAGAGGGAGGAGAGAGGGAAAAAAATTGTAAGGAAAAAAGAACAGCATCTAGTACTTGTTTTCCTTTCCTTGCCCTTTAACCAAACCCGTGTTCACGTGTGTTCTTTAAAGCTACTATTATTAATTATATATTATTATATTAGCTATAAGAAATTTAAAAATTTAATGTATGCCCAGATAGGGCAAATATTTATTACCGTCTGAGAATTTGGTTCCTCTTCTCCCCACTGGTGTTTTGGAGAATTCTGCATCATGAAATAAGGAAAAGAATTTGTAATTTTATTTCACCAAATCAACTGATTATTTAACACTTTAAAAACATGGTTAAGATAATATAAGTTCCATCTAACTGAACAAATTCTCATATTTCTCACTTGTAATGAGCACATAAGTTCTGAATACAAGTATGCCATTGTGAATAGTTAATTTTACTAGACTGTCTACAAAGCCAGAAAATTTCTAGAGAACTTGCACTGATATAGGATTATAATCACACAAAGGTAACAGGAAGATGAAGCTGACCAATGTACCCAACAAATATTCATTTCACATGTGTTCATCTTCAGACATACCCTTTTCATTAGACTTCACTAGTTTTCTATCAAGGCCAAAAAGAAAAAAGTTACTAGGATCATATAATAAGTATCTTTAGAGCCAAAACAGCCTTTGTACAATTTGGGCGATGAAGAAATCTACTCAGGTGACACCATATTGTGATTTAAGGAGACTCTGAAATCCTTGTCACAAAGCCACTCTTTCTTCATTAGCAATTGGTCAGGATATTCTCTAACTCCACAAAATGCTTACAGCAAAGTGGTCAGTACATCATGTCCCTTTAAAAAGACTTCAAAGGTTAAAAAGAATACCTTACAGTATTAGTGGGGGGATGTGGAAATGCATGTCTGTGAAAAAAATATATATGTTGGGGGGGTGCATAAATTTGTATAACCTTTCTGAATAGCAGCTAAGTGATATGTCATCAAAACTTTACATATACACATTCACTGCATTAACAATTACACTTTTAGGAATTTATCCTAAGGAAACAGTATGTCAATTATATAAAGTATGTGCAAGAATGTATGTGCAAGAATTTACAGTGCTGTGTATAATATAAAAAAATTGGGAAAAAAATCAAATTAACAATAGATGATTGGTTATATAAATTACTGCACTCAATGAACACTGAATAACCACTAAAAGTAATTCTATCCAGGGCCGGCGCCATGGCTGAGCGGTTAAGTGTGCGTGCTCCGCTGCTAGCGGCCCGGGTTCGGATCCCAGGCGTGCACCGACGCACCGCTTCTCCGGCCATGCTGAGGCCGCGTCCCACATACAGCAACTAGAAGAACGTGCAGCTATGACATACAACTATCTACTGAGGCTTTGGGGGGAAGAAAAAAAAAAAGTAATTCTATCCAAGGTGCAGAAAAATACATATAATTTGCTACCTTTTTTTGTTAAAAAAACGAGGGAAAGATGGGAATAAGATTATATATTTATATTTGTTTGTATTTACACAAGAAACTCTGAAAGGATCTACAAGAAAAATAAAAAAGGTTACGGGATGGTGAGGTTTAGAGATAGGGCAGATGGAAGCAGGGGCAGGAGACTTTTCACCACACATCTTCTTAAATTGTTTTGATTTTTGAACCATGATGCATTAAATATGATGTGAACAAGTCCTCATTGCATTATTTATTGTTTAATTAAAAAAGTAGGTGATAAATGAGTATGTAAAGATGCATCCATTTAAAAAACATGTTGTATTATAATCACGTGCATATATAGATACATGTGGGGAGTGAAGTGGGACCCAGGAAGGCCTACTTCAAAATGTTAACAGTTAACATAGGGGATATTTATTTTCTTCTTTATAATTTTCTAAATTTTTTTCTGAATATGTGTTAACTTTCAAAATCAGAAATGTTTTTTAAAAATCAATTTTTTTCAGAGTTCCCACAAGTTGCTAGTTCAACAAAGGACATTTATATTGCTACATAGACAGCTAAATCTCTACAGTAGAGACTGCTATACTATATGTAGTTAATCTTCATATCCAAGTGGGCAAAATTCGTCAGTCCCCTCTATACATTTAAGTGTGTTTACTGGGGAAATAAATTACACTATGTTTACAACAAACAACAGAGAATATGTTGGAACAAGAGAAACAGGCCCTCTTCCTTTTGCCAGGGTTAGTAATAAATTAACAATAACCAACAGTAGTTACCACTTACCAAGTGTTTATGTGATACATATGCTAAGCCTCCTGGGGAGTAAGTGGTGTTATCTCTACTTTAGAGATGATAAAATAAGGCTCAGAGACGCAAATTAATTTTTCAAGGACTACCTAGTTAGCCAGGGGCAGAGCTGGATTTTAACATCTATCTGTTAACTTGTGCTGTGAACCTGCCTGATAGGTGGCCTCAGTGACTGCTTTCTTGGTGATTACTTAGTTCTGTTTGCTATATAGTATATATATATATATATATATATATATATATATATATATATATATATATACACTATACTTGCTAAGAATCTCTTTTAGGAATTTAAACTCGAAAACTCCAAATGTTTAATTTATCATTTATTTATGCCATGAATTTGTTAAAAAGAAACTTTCACAGCTCTAATAATCATAATATACTTTAACTGTTAAGTTGACATGATTTAAAAAAAAACAAAAAAACTCTGGCTGCAATACATCTTTTTTTAGTATGAAAATTTTTTTGCCCAGCTATAAAATTATTACATGTTCATTATGGAAAATGTGGAAAACAGTAAAAAAAAAATAATAATATAAAGAAAAATTCACTAATTCTACATTAAATGAGAACTGGCGTTCTGGCATTTTTCCTATGTGATAAAATACTTTCTCCTGTGTCATTAAAATATAAGTCCAGTGTTGTTACTAAATCTTGATAAAAGTCATTTTAAGAGCTAGGCAACATTGTATCACGCAGACACAGGAAAGCTTACTTTTCCAATTCCTTATGAGGCTATTTAAATTTTTTGCTACTGTAAAAAGTGCTGCAATGAATATCTTGGGACATAAGGATTTTTCTGAATACTAGAAAATTCTTTAGGATTGATGGATCTACTAATTTAATTCCAGAAAAGGTATATAAATGTTTCATGGCAATATTATTTCCAAAATAATCATTTTATATTATTATTTATATTATTATATAATAATCAATTTATATTCCCATGAACTGTATAAAAGTGTCAGTTTTACTCTTTCCCCTCAATAGCACTTCTCTCTCCTTAAAATCTTTTCTAACTGGAGAGATATAAAATGAATTCTTGTTTCAATCTTCATTTACGGTTTACTAAGAGTTTGAATTTTTTTACTGATCATTTTTATTACTTACAGCCTGTTCCACTAATTTTCCTGAGGCCAACTCTTCTTGGAGTTTCTGGGCTTTCAGTGTTCGTTTTGCCTAACAAAAAAAGAAACATTTGAAATTTACTTACAATATTCAAATGAACATTAATTTTTAAATATTTAAAGTGAGTAAGTTTATCATTTTCAGAAAAGGTCACTGGACAAGGTCATGTCTTTGAGATTTCTTGTAGCTCTAGACTTACGGCTCTCCAAAGAACAAGAGTTACAAACTCCTGTTTGAACCAGGCATCAACGTGAGCTGAACTAGCCAGCACTAGTGGTAAAGCGCAGAGAGCAAGCCTTGTCTAAAAGGGGCAGCTGCCTCCTGACTCCAGATGACTGACTCTTGCCAGCCAGGCCCACGATTAGCATATATTTCATTGTTCAAGAAAAGATGAAATTCAGATTTTTATGTTTAATTCCATGATTTTTTAAAAATGTTAACTCTACTTAAAAAAATAAAAAGGAAGTGTGACTATGGTTTTTAAGGAACAGGGGTGAGTAGGTGAAATCACAGAAAAAATTGAGGTCGAATTAAAATAAAATGCAATTTCCTGCAACGAGTTACCCTATTGCCCTTCCACCACCCTCAAATGCTATGTGAGACAACTATAAAACAGGCAAGATATAGTCTGTGGGCCAAGAGTTTATAACCTCAAAAGGCCAAAAGCTCGGGGCTGGCCTTGTGGCGTAGTGGTTACGTTCATGCACTTGGTGGCCCAGGATTTGCAGGTTTGGATCCCAGGCGTGGACCTACGCCTCCCTTATCAAGCCATGCTGTGGCAGGCATCCCACATACCAAGTAGAGGAAGATGGGCACGGATGTTAGCCCAGGGCCAACCTTCCTCAGCAAAAAGAGGAGGACTGGCAATAGATGTTAGCTCAGGGCTGATCTCTCACCAAAAAAAAAAAAAAAAGCCAAAAGCTTTTGATACTAATCTGTTCTGATGCTTCCACTATTTTTTGCAACCTAAGTCAGGGAGTAAAGGACAATACAAGAATCAAATAAAAAGAAACTGCTGCCTAACAGGGCTAGCACACTGTTTGTTTTCACTATTCCATTAGGTTATTGCTACTATAATAAAAATGCACCATTTTTATACTGCTGAAGATTCAAAAAATAGAGTTGTTAAATTAAAGATACAGCAAAATGTACATTCTTTAAGGATAGTAGCAAAGCAGGGAATTTTGCTCACCAGATCAACTTTCGCATATTCTTCTACAATTTTCATGTGTTCTTCTGGATTGTAGCCATTCCACCGATCCCTCTTCCCATCATAGTCAAACGTCAGCTGAGGCTGGATATGTTCATCTGGAGCTATGTTAGTACCTGTAAATTTTGCTCCAACTCGCCTAGGTCTCTGGAAAACAGAATAAGATTAAATCTTTTCCTAAGTATCCATAGCCCAGAGGAAAATTTCATATAATCTTTACAGAGTGGGTATGAACACACCAGGGGACTTTATGGTCTATTCAATTATCAGTTGGTCTTCCAGCAGAAAATTTTGATGGTGCTAAACAATTTCACTCAGATTGATTTTTATTTAACTTGTACCTAAATACAGTAATTTTAGAATAGAATTAACTTCTCTGACAAGGAATAAAGAAAGACTCTCTGACAACAGTTTCCAAAATTCTCAAAGGTGAACTTACCTCAAAGCAGTCTTTCTTTTTGTGTGTCATGGCTCCACAATTTTCACATGCTCCTTGGCGGTACTTAGTAGTTATGGAATTCTACAAATGGATATAACGAAAAACAAAGAAAATGTTTTATTTATCTGAATAAGTTAGAAATAACTTTGGCTCCCATTACTATATTGTCTAGTGAAATGATTTATTCATTAAGAGGAAAACCAGTTAGTCACACTTTTATAAATGAGAAAGTTTAAGGACTTCAGCAACATAAAATTTATAACAGAAAATATAGAAGCTAAAGTAATACGTATGGTGAATTTTAATACCAGATAAAAGGTTATACAATCTGTTTCTACTTTATAGACTACTGCATTAAAGGTTCTCATATTAAGTCTTAAAATAAAATCTCCATTTCCACATGGATGTATACAGGTTGCCTCCATACCTCTTTTACACCCCTCTTGTACCATTCTCCAGACGAGCTGTACTGCTTTTGTTTCTCTGGTTGTGGCCTCTGGTGCTTTAAAGTAGGTCTTTTTGATGGATCAATATACCATGGCACTGAAGAAATATACTGAGGAATATGAGGGTTGATGTCTCTGTAATAAAATTAAAAAATTTTTTAAAAAATGAAGTTTGAAAATAATTGATACTATAAAGGCAGTCTATACAGAATCTAAGAATAGAGTTATTGCCGTGGGAGGGGGGAGGGAGAATATGCTTGATATTTCTAAAATATAATAAAAAATAAGTAAAAATAAAGTAATTTATATTAGAGTGAAAAAACTTCCAACAAAGAAACTAAGAATAATGCTATAACTGAAGGGGAAGGAGAGATGAAGGAAGATTGGGATGTACGCTAGTGAGATAAATCTTCTATCAGAGCAAGAAGTTAACTAATAATGTCTAGAGTTGATTAATGGTGTAGGTATATTATTTAGAGGTGTGGCGATATCAACCAGAAAAACTCAAAATAGAAAGATTTAAAAGCAGCCACTTTTGCTGAGTGGGACACAGAGTGGGAAGGGCTGAAAGGCACTGCAGCTGTTCATTATAGGCCCTTTGATATTATTTGATTACTAAACCTTACACACAAGAGTCTGATAAAATTAATAATAAAAAAAAAGGATGTAAATGGTAAAGATAGCTTCCTGTCAAAGCAAAAGATGAGAAATTGATGAACTAAGTAGACATAACTTTGAATTTTGAGTGAACAGATCATGCAAATAATTAAAGTACTTACTTCCCTTCTTCATCAACTTCTGCAGGAGCATTACCCAGTTTTCGCTGTTCTTCTAGCTCCTTCTTCTTTCTCCAGTCCTCTCTGGTCATCTTCTTTGGTTCCTCCAAACTCATTTCTTTGGACCCCGACAGGGAGGCAGCATTAACTGCATCCACAGCTGCAGCTGACATGGTTATCTGGCCTCCTCTATGAAAAGGAAGAAATATGTATTAGTATAAACGAGGCCTTCATGAGTTTATCAGTGAAACTACCAAAAGTATGTCCTAATAACACATACTGTGGGTTAAATATAATGCTTCATACGTTCTTACTCTTTCATAATATCTGTAAGGGAAGCATCTCTTTCCCCTCTATATACTATTGCAGTTTCTCCCTGAACTCTCGTTTACAAATGGAGAGAGACATATACACATGTATTTAAAATTTCATAAGACTCTTTCTCTCATATATATTCCTGAATTCCTCTCTTTCTATGTACGTGTCTCAAACTTTTCTACCACACTAACCCTTAATGAGTAAACGGGGTCCTATTTCTGTTTCTCTTAAAGACTGAATGCCTTAAGAGTTATATTGTCTCTATTTCCTCATCTTCTCCTTCCCTCTTCAATCACTCTAATTTAGCTTCCATCCCTTACCACTTCAAAGAGTCACCAGTAAGTTATCAATGATCAATGTGCTAAATCCACTGGACATTTTTCAGTTCTGTTCCCTCTCATTTTGATATATTCTTATCCCTTGGCTTATGTGACACTATACTCTCCTGGATTTTCTTGTACCCCTTTCCCTGCTCCTCCTGTCTCCTTTGCAGGTTCATCTGTTTCTGCCCAGTTATTTAATTTAGGATTCCACAAGGCTGAGTCCTAGAGCATCTTTCTTTACTCTGAACTCCACCAGTGGACGAGCTCATCTATTTCCAAGGCTTCAATAGCCACAACATACCACTGTTGGCTCTCCAACTTATTTCTCTATTCCAGATCTTTTATCCGAGCTTCAGATACACAGGTCCTACTGCTTACTTCACAGCATCTCCACAGAGGTCCCAGAGACACCTAAACTCAACAAATTTTAATTAAAATTCATGATCTTCTCCAAGAAATCTAGTCTCCTTCCACTGTTTCCTCTCTTAACAAAAGACACCACCATCCATCCCTTTACATAAGTGTTCCAGCAAATCTCCATATCTATTTTATCATTAAGAATTGTTATTTTCACCTTCTGAATGTCATTCAAATTCATCTACTTCTCTCTTTCTCAATGCTACGAGCTTCACGTTATTTTGTCCTTCTAGTTTCCCGCTAGTCCATCCAATCAATTCTCCACACTGCAGCGTTATTTTTTCAAAACACAGATTTTAAATACAATCATAGCACATCCCACTACCCAAGCTTAAAACCCTCCAATGCAGCGCTGTCCAAGAGAAATATAACGCCAGCCCTATATACCATTTAAAATATTCCAGTAGCCACAGTAAGGAAAAAGAAACAGGTAAAATTACTTTTGCACTATCTAACCCAATATATCCAACATATTATCATTTCAACATAAGAAAAAATAAGTCTTTAATATCTTATCTGAATAAGTGTAAAATAGATATTTTACACTTATTCAGACTAGCCACATTTCAAGCCCTTAAAAGCCACAAGCAGCTAACAGCTATCATACTGGGCAGTGCAGCTTCAATGGCATCTTATAACTCTTACTCTAAAAACCGCTGAGACACAGTCCTGGTCTGGCCGGGCCCAAGTACCATGTCTGAGGCCTAGGACGGCGGCTTCTTTTTCGGTCCCTGGTCCCCGGTCCCCATTCCCTCCTCAACCTGGCGTTCATCACCCCCGTGACCCATTTTCTGAGGTTCCCCAACTTCACCTACCCCCCACCGCCAACTTCTCACAATATTTCCTTACCTAGCGCGCCGCAGCCAGCCCCAAACCCACGGCACAGAAACGAACCCGATCTGTCAATGTTTACTTCCTGGCTTTCCGCCCCCTCCCGGCAGCCACTGCGGTACCTTCCGGACGATCGACACATGCGCACTAACAACTCTTTGAGTGGCTCCTTTGCGACGTTGGTCTCGCGAGATCTCAAGCGGTGCCTATTTCTCTGCCCCGGGTCTGTAGGAGGGGCTAAGTTTAAGCAGCTTCTTTCGGATTCTCTGCTTCTCCGCTCGTGTTTCTTTTAGAATTGCAGAGACTTATGACGTACAGAAAAAAAGGAAAAAATTAGCACCGAGAACGGACCACAGCTTAAGCCTCACTAGAGCATTATGAAATGAATGGGGAAGTGCGTTACGCGTTAAGTTAAAAAAAGCAGTTAAAATTAGTATTAATTAGTAGCCAGGTACTGTGTTACACGCTGGGGACGTGGTGAACACCGTGTCTTTCTCTCCTTGAATTTACATCACACAGAGTGAGAAAGACACTAAAGTAATTATTCAAGTAATTTACAGTTGTAGAGAGTCGCTATGAAAGGAATGCCAGGTGCTATGAGAACGTAAGGCTATTTGGTAATTGTGACACCTCGCCTTGAAGTGATCTTGTATTTTATGATTAGGAAAAAAAATACTATAAAACGATCTCCATTTTGGGAAAACACTGGTATCCATGACATCCCAACCCTCCTTTTAAAGAATACTTATGAAATGAAATACTGGAAAATAAACAGTGCTTTTGGTAGTAGAATTTCCTCTGATTTTTTTTTTCCCTATCTGTTCTGGTGACTTTTTTTGTTTTTCAAAATAACATGCGTGAAGATATCTACCGTTTTTGTCTCAGTAAGAGAGCCCATCATAATATAATCTATTTTTTTCTTAAGAATTTGCAGTGCCTAGAGTTTAGGAATGGTAAATATTAATTTTGATTTTTACAGGGCAATAGATGAAGGGATAGAAAGTGTCAGGAAATAGCCTGAAAATGAATAGTCTACGAATCACCCACAGTTTGTTTTTATCTCCTTAAAACAATTCCTGAAATTTGCTTGGAAGTGTTGAGGCCTATTTGGTTAAAACCACCAGGCGCAAGCCAGGGAGCACATCTCCCAGAAGAATCAAAGAATGTGCTGGACAAGCGGGAAGAATCTTTTGTAAGGTTTGAGTTCCCCGTGAGGATTCTGATGAGGGTCTAGGGAAGCAGGGATCAGTTCTGGAAGGGTTGCTGTTTGTAAATAGGGATTAGGATAAACTGGGATTGATTAGGATCTAGGTGCTGTCATGAGGTGAGTGTGGTTTTGCAACTGGGTATCCCCAGTAATAGTTTGGAATAGCAAAGTGAGTCTGGGGCATCATTAGTTAGAAAACAGTGGTCACTCAAAGAGGGGGTGGTTATGGCATTTTACACTTACTGCATGACCTAGGGAGACACGATGCTTCCTGTTGTAAGGGGAAGATTTACCCTAGGGAGATACAAACCTTGCACCCAAAGACTTAGAAGATAGAGCATCCCCACTTGGAAGCTGTAGGTGTTGTACAGATTTGGTTTCAAAGTGAACACTTCTTCACTTTGAACTGATGGTGATGATATAATATGGAGCTGAGACATATAGAAGGGGACACAGAGGGAAAATAAGGGGAGGGGGGGAATAAAAGAAAAAGGACAGGGAAGGGGCAATAAAGGTATGCATGATTTTTTGTCCTCCCTCTTTTCTTCGCTTTCTTGAGTAGGATCTTTTCTTGATGCCTAGCACAGTGTCCAGCATTTAATCGGCATTCAATAAATACTTGTTCAATGAATTAATCATTCAATCAATTTTGGTCCTGAAATGCCAAGGAAGAAGGGGCAATGAGCTGGCATATATTAAGAACCATGTCTGTGCCAGGTATAGTGTTAAACCTTTTGTGAAAGAGTAATGCGGGGTCAACTCCTCTGTCTTGATTCATCTGCAGGTTAAAATCTATCTGGTGACCTGCGGGGAGTAGGGTTTGCATGACACCGGTCAGCTTTGGTCTTTTGAATTTATTCGTTTATCGTGTATTTGTTCAATATATTTCCATTTATTATAGAAATAGGCTAAGTCCATCAACTTTTTCATAATTTCTTTTCATATCTTGAAATTGGAATTCCTTTTCTATATCTTGAAATTGGAATTCCTTTTCTATATCTTTATTATTCCTCTAATCTTCTCTTGTTGATCCGTCTGCCTTTCCCCACCAGGGCCTTCCAGGTGGCTTTCACGAATATGTATATTGTTGAGATGTTAGATGTTTAAAATAAGTCCCTATTAAATGATACAATTTTAAAGGAAGCCTGAATTATGTATTCATTAGGATCATCATTTTGTTCCTAAGTCAGAGTCCTGATGCTGTAGTAGAGACAGCATCCTAGCCTGAAATGTTGAGGATAGTCCTGCAATTAGGGAATAATCAGTTCATTCTTAATCACAAGCACAACAGAATGACTCGAACATTGCTGTTTGATCTATCTGTACTTACATTTCTTCTTAATTCCTCCCTGCTAGTGTTCCTTAGACCTAATATGGATTGTCCCCACCTGACTATATACGTATTTTTTCATATCTCTAATTGAGATCCAACTATTAAATATCCATTTTTCCTCAGTGATGACAGTTTTCCAATGACTACAATGCCTTTCCTGCAGTCTGTTTCTTCTTTTTGTTTGATTTGATCTGGTCTATTTATTCTCTGGACGAATAGTTCATTAGTTGAAGACTTTAGGAAAATAGTTCTGTTGCCACCTTGCCTTGACCTTTTTGAACCTCACAATCTTTTCATTTAAGCACGTCTTGGTCACCCAAGTGTCTCGAAAAAACCCCAAACTCTCTGTCTTGGTATCATAATAATCATAATAATTATTTATTTCTTGGAATTGGAGACCATATTCACTCCCTTTTTATCTATATGAGGAGCAGATTAAAAAAACACCTACAAGTCCACGATCAAGGTGTCAGCAGGTTTGGTTTTTTCCTTCCCAGCAAACAAGCTACAAACTTTCCGGGAAAAAGCTTTCGGGGGCGGAACCCAGGGAGCTTAGAATCCTCCCATTGGTTCTTCCTGAGCCCACCCCGGTCCCGCCCCCTGGGCGGATGAACCAATAGGGGCGTGAATTGTGGTTTAAACACGGATCCTGGCGCGACCGCTGGAGACCGAGTCTTGGGTGATTTTGGCTGTTGATCCCAACGTGGGTGAATGGGAAGGTGGCGAGTGGTTGGAGGAGCGGGGTCCGGCGAGGAAGGAGCCAGGGCGTTGGGGCTTGGGGCCAGGGCTGGCGTCGGGGGCCGGGGGCCGGGGGCCGGCAGCCGGCAGCCAGCAGCCAGGGCGTTGGGGCCTGGGGCCTGGGGGCTGGAGGCTAGGGCTACCCTGGGTTGTCTATGGCGCCAAGCCGGGTTGAGCCGCGGCCTCGGACTGCATCCGCTACCCACGGCGGTTTGGTTTTGATGAGTACCAGCGCCTGTGCCAGTCCCAAACCGCCTACTCTTCAGGGTCTTAGAGCCCCTGACGCAGGCTTCAAGAGTTAACAGCTGGATTAAGTGCCTGTTCGCTCCGGATCGGGCTTCTCCTTGCGCTTAGCTCTCGTTTTTGCGTGGACGAGCCCAGGGTAGAAAGTCTGGTCTGTGCTACACCATAGCTTCTCTCGTCTTCCCTAACCCCTCAGGGTCTAATATGTATTTCACATCCCTAGCTTAATCCAGAATGGCTACTCTGATCTTTGTTGATAAGGAAAATGGAGAACCTGGCACCCGTGTGGCTCCTAAGGATGGGCTGAAGCTGGGGCCTTGTAAGTATACAGGCTGCAATCCGAGACACAGGTATTGTGAATCAATTGTGAATGCGGCCTGGAGCTGGGGGAGGCATTTAGTGTACTTGGTTGGCAGTTGGAATCAAGTTTACCGAATACTGTTATTGTAACATGCTTGTTATGGGTCTCTTTTTCAGGTTCAGTGTCTTAATGAGATTATTTAAGAGGATACTGGACTGCAGTACTATTAGGCATATCATGGCCATGCCACTGTCAAAAGTGGGGGTTGGGTTTGGGGGTAAAAATTAGGCCAAGTTTACGTACAGTCGGCCTTCGAGTTGCACAGGTGTTTACTGTCTGAATAATCTTATGGTAAGACTTTTTCTTCAGCAGTCAAAGCCTTGGATGGGAGATCTCAGGTTTCAACACCACGTGTGGGCAAAATGTTTGATGCTCCACCAGCCTTACCTAAAACTGCCAGAAAGGCTTTGGGAACTGTCAACAGAGCTACAGAAAAGTCAGTTAAGACTAATGGACCCCTCAAACAGAAACAGACAACCTTCTCTGCCAAAAAGGCAAGTGTTAGCTATAAAGACATTATTGAAACACTTCACTTCTGACTCATAAAATGACTATTAGCATCCTCTCTGGCTTTCTTCCCTGTGAGCAGAAGGAAATATAGACAAACACAGATAGCAGAAAAGAGTCGTACTGTTTTTGTGGACTTCCTCTGTACCTCAAAACCAGAAGTCTCAGAAGCAGCTGGTGGGGCCGGCCCCGTGGCTTAGCGGTTGGGTTCTCGCGCTCTGCTGCTGGCGGCCCGGGTTCGGATCCCGGGCGCGCACCGACCCACCGCTTCTCCGGCCATGCTGAGGCCGCGTCCCACATACAGCAACTAGAAGGATGTGCAACTATGACATACAACTATCTACTGGGGCTTTGGGGGAAAAAAGGAGGAGGATTGGCAATAGATGTTAGCTCAGAGCTGGTCTTCCTCAGCAATAATAAAAAAAAAAAAAAAGAGGATTAGCATGGATGTTAGCTCAGGGCTGATCTTCCTCACAAAACAAAACAAAAAAGAAGCAGCTGGTGAATATTTTTGCCTCACCTGCCCTTAACTAGTATCTTGAGGAAGATTGGTCAGTAGTGTCGACTTACGGATACATGGAGTAGTAAGAGCAAGGGTGCTTTGCAAGAGGTCACGTTCCTAATGTAATAGCTCAGGTGCTGCCATCCTCCCCGCCTCCCAGAGCAAGCACCAGCTTGTTGGGTGATGATTTGCTAAAATGTTGACCTTTGTGTGTGTGCACGAGCTATAGGTCAGTGCATCCCAGAATAAGAGGACTTTGCTGTGAAAGATGCTTCAGCATGTAGATTAACACTTTATTTGAATAACTGTTTTAATGTGTATTAGGAAAAAACAGCTGCTACTTTACATCAAACCCATGACTTACGTGTAGTGCAGCTTAGGACAAGGATGTCTTTTTAAAAAACTGAGTTGACTTAGAAACGTTAAATACATGTATTGCAAGGATATGGCAAAAATAATGAGAATGTGACAGAACCGAAGTGTAGGAGACGCTGCGGTAGGGATTTGCTCTAGGCGTAAGATTAAATTTGGTGTAAGATTAAATTTGGAATACACAGGCTTTAGTTTTGGCCTACTACTGTCGTAGATTGCCTACCTGTCAGTTCCAGACGAGGGATTTATCCACGGTGGGCTTCTCAAGTCCTTGACTGTCTTTTGCTGCCTCTCACTCAGTCTGTGTATTTGAGAAATACAAACTTGTTTTTAATATTAACCAAGCAAATAATGAAGGTAATACTGATGGAAAAAATCACACTTCCAAAAGCCAAAAATGGCTTCTAGGACTAGCTACTATTGTGGGTGACTCATGCCCATTTTTTCCTCTGTTAGGTTGAGTGACTGAGTTGATTAGCTCTGAATTAACTCCACTCTGTGTTCTTGATAACTTATGCTGACAGGTGCCAATACTTAAATTTCAGACTTAACTTTTGAGCCACGCTACTAGAATTGCTTGCTGAATTGTATTTGTATGTAATCATGAGAACTAAGCATTATGGTTTCTTAGAAGTCAGCATGAAACTGAAAAAATTTAAACTGTGGCGAAGTGGTCACACGTCTTGAAGAAGCCCTGTGATCTCTTGTACTAATCAGTTGATAAGCCTTCCACTCTCACTAATCCATATTTTCTTGGGTTGTTTTAGATGACCGAGAAGACTGTTAAAGCAAAAACCTCTGTTCCTGCGTCAGATGACACCTATCCAGAAATAGAGAAATTCTTTCCCTTCAATCCTCTAGGTAGTATCTTTTGGTATAACACAAATGCTTTAGCCTTGAGTTTCTCTTAGAATTCAATTCAGCTGTAACTTGATATGGATATGACCCCAAACTGTAAGGAGACTGTCTGAATCTGGGGGTCTTTGAACAAATATAATTGTTGGTGGAATTATTTGTAAGGTATCATCTTTAGGTCAGGAGGGGGAGTTGGAGCGAAGATGAGAACATTGTTCCTGTCCTCAAAAGCTAACCACCTGGGGGAGATAAGATATGTTCACTATCATTGAACAAGTCTAAAGTGGACAGTGTTCCTGGCAAGCCTTTTAGATAGTGGGCTATTTATGTCAAGTTGAACAATGTCTGAAAAAGCCATATAGCCAGTGAAAATCTTTTTTTTTTTTTTTTTTTACTCCTTCAACCTGCTACATATATCTGAAATATTTTCTGTTATAGAACCAGCTTCTCAAACTTTAATTGATTTACATTTGAGGAGAGGCTACTGTATGCCAGGCACTATTAGGCCTTGGATGAAGTGGTTAACAAGTCAGGCCCCACCCTGAGGGAGCCCACGATTTGGAGGGAAAGTTAAGCACTGAACAGATCATCTCACTGTGAGTGCGAGCCAGGAGAAAAACAGGGCCTGTTAGGGGGCACTGAACCTACCCTGGAAGAACAGGGAAGCTTTCTTTTAGGAAGTGACCTGAGGTTGTCTTTTTTTCTTTTTAATAGCATTATTATTTTTTTTAGGGTAGTAACATTGGTTTATAACATTGTATAAATTTCAGGTGTACATCATTATACTTCTGTTTCTGCATAGAGTACATCATGTTCACCACCCAAATACTAATTACAATCCATCCCCACACACATGTGCCTAATCATCCCTTTTGCCTTCCTCCCTGCCCACCTGAGGTTGAGCCTTGAAGCATATAAAGAGGTAGCTAGGTGAAGAAGGGGAGGGGCAAGGCAAGAGCATTGTACATAAGTGTGCGAAGATCCTGAGGCAGAAAAAAGGCCTGGAGTGATTCTGGAAGGCTAATTGAAAGCCCAAGTGAAAGATGATGCTGGTGGGTGGGTGGGTGGGTGGGGGCAGATTATGCAGGGCCTTATAGATTTCTGAGCTGGATTTTTTGCCTTTTTATCCAAAGAGCATTTAGTTGTTCTACTAATATACATTTCTAGGTTGTTTCTGGCTTTTATATATTACAAACAATTCTGCAATTAGTGTTATCGAAATTATATTGTCCAGAGTTGGTGAGTATATCTGGAGAGTAACCTTGAAGAAGGATTGCTGGGTCTCAAAGGATGTGTAATTAAGTTTTGATAAAATGTGGTGCATCCATTCTAGTGATTACTATTCAGGAAAATGAGGTAGATTTATGGATATTGAGACCAGGGAAGAGGACTACGATATGCTGTGTTTGAGGAATGAGATGTTGCTAAATTGCCCTCCAAAACAGGAGCATAAATGAGCAAACCCACCTGCAGTGGCTGAGGATGTCTGCTTCCCCTGTGTTCTCTAACTGCAAATGTTTTAAAACGCTAATCTTTGTCAGAAAGGCAGTGGATATCTCATTGTCTTAAATTGGGGGATGTATGTGTGTCTGAGCATGTTTGATGGCCATTTATAGTTTTTCTTTTTTTAACTTCCTGTTTGTATCTTTGTTTTCCTTTGATTATGTGGCTTACTTATGGATTTATTTATTTTTTTAAGAGCTCTTTGTGGATAAAGGAAGTTAGCTTTGTAATGTGGCAGACTTCTTTCCTCTTGAGTTTTTGTTTATGGTTTCCTTTACAATTCAGTGGTTTTAAACTAAGTAGTCATGCATTACTCAATTTCTTTTTGACTTTTGGGTTTGAACAGACTTGAAAAAGAGCAGACCAATTCCTAGTATTTAGGCCTTAGAGAACTTTCACACTTCAGAAAATGATGGTTCTCCCTCCATCTTTGTTCTTATCTTGTGAGAAGACACTTAACCTCTTTGAAAAGAGGAAAGACTCAATATTTAAATACTACTTCTGTTAAGAAGAATCAGTTGTTTTAAATGATTTCTGAGAAGTAAGGCACTTGCTTACTTAATAATTTCTTCAGAAGTAAGGCACTTAACATTCCTTCTTAAGGAATGTTACCTAACACAGTGGTTCTCAAATTTTTTGTTTTAGGACTCTTTTACACTCTTAAAAATTAGCAAAGACCCCAAAGAACTTTTGTTTGTGTGTTCTGTTTATAGTTCCTGTATTAGAAATTAAAGTTGAAATTAAAAAAAATTGATTAAAAAATAATAAGGCAACTACATTAATATAAATAACTTTTTTTTTCCCCCTAAACTCTTCCAAAACAAAACTTATTGAGAAGTCTGGCATGGTTTTATATTTTTGAATATTTGCTTAATTTGGCTTAATTTAAGACAGCTGGATTCTCATCTGATTCTTTATTCAGTCTGTTGCATCTGTTTTGGTTGAAGTATGAAGAAAATCTGGTCTCATGCAGATACGTAGTTAGGAAAGGGAGAAGCATTTTAACAGTCTTTTCAGATAAGTCTGGATAGTTTTCTTTGATACTACACTAAAAGTCAACAAGTGGCCGGTTGGGAACCTGTAGTTGCAAGGTGGAATCTGAAACCATATGTGAACATTTTATACTCTGATGATAAAATCCATTGGTCTATTTTGCACTTCCAGTGTATCTTTTATCCTTGCATTGGTCATTTAGAAATATTGGCTCACTGAGAAATATAGATCATCCAAATGTTGCAATGTTTCATTCTGTGATATCAAAAACACGTATCACCACTGATCTCATCAGAAAAGTCTAAGTATTAGGAAGCTGTCAAGCTAATGATTGCAGATAATTTTTCTAAAATTCTAGTTTTTTGCCTTGAAATTGTGAATTATATCGTAGGCAACAAATACTGTTTTCATTGAAGTGATAGACTTCTTTCATTCCTCTGAGAAAATGTGTGGCAATTACCCAAGTCTGAGTAACCACGGTTTCTTTCCGCTGTTCTTTCATCTACATAGTGTTCCAGGAGAAAGGCCTCTAGTTTAGCTTGCAGATCAAATCATTGCACAAATCCTTTTTCTTTGAGATCACTGTGGTACTTCAGTATGTGGCAGAGGTGCTTTATGGCATACTTCTCATTTTATCATTACAGAATACTAAAAAGATATGTTTTCAAAGGTCAAGAGCTAATAAAATTAATAATGTTTACTGCATATGGTAAAGTGATATGTGAAACTGGCATTTTTTACTGCAAGTGAGTGGTAGTGAGGAATAAAGTGACTACTAAATATAGTTTATTGCCACTGCCTTGATCCGTGCTAAGGCACAGCAGTTTTATCCACTGTTGCTTTTGTACCATCATTGTAAATATCAACAGTGGGAAAAGGTATAAATATTATGAAAATAGTTTGACCTTGTGGACCCACTGAAAGAGTCTCAGACCCCCAGGGGTCCACTGACCACCCTGACAACCACTGCCCTGACGAAACACTTTCTCTGTGACAGATTTTGAGAGTTTCGACCTGCCTGAAGAGCACCAGATTGCACACCTCCCCTTGAATGGAGTGCCTCTCATGATCCTCGATGAGGAGAGGGAACTTGAAAAGCTGTTGCATCTGGGTCCCCCTTCACCTCTGAAGATGCCCTCTCCACCGTGGGAGTCCAGTAAGTGAACTATTGACCTTCTAGAAGGGCTGCAAACAATTTGTGTCATAACACTTTCATTACTGTGGGCACAGAGTTGTGTGGAAGGTTAGCCTGCAAGTAATTTCTATCCTTCAAATTTCAGGGATAAGGTTTCAGAATTTTGAGTCCCAAATGCCCAGGTAAAATTAAGGCATTCTGGAATCTGGACAGTCTTAGATACAGCAAAACAAGATTAAATTTAGCATATAGCTTCTTAGATTATAAATTGAAATACAATAAACTTGCTTGGAATGAGAATTCTATGTTATATCCAAAGCTAATATAGGATCAAGACACCTATGTAATAGCATAGAATAACAAAACCTTCTTACTCAGAAGGTTTGAGGATTTGGTTCAAACTGGTGGTCAAAAGCCATCATCAGTATGTTTTCTATTTATTCTGATGGGATAACTTACACTATTTTATAAATTACGTTAGTGATATTGTTGGCTCTTATTTAGGTCCCTAAGAACAATCGTTGCAGGTACTTCTAAGATTTATTTCCTAATGAAAGTTAATTCTGGGACCACAGCCACATTCCAAGAAGTGAGAGAGAATGTATGTGCATATGTGTATGTGTGTGCGTGTGTGTGTGTGTGTGGGGCGGGGTAGGGATTCATTAGACAAAGGGAAAACAAGAATTTATAATTAAGAGTGACAGCTAATGTCTATGTTGAGATGGACAATGACTCAAGGATTTGCGGATATTGAATAAGAAATTCCTGTTTTCTAGATGCGCTGCAGTCTCCCTCAAGCATTCTGTCCACCCTGGATGTTGCATTGCCACCCGTTTGCTATGACTTAGACATTTAAATTTCTTAGCACTTTATAGTTTGTGTATGTATTAATAGTTTGTGTTAATAAAGCAATTCTTTGTTTAACAGACTCTTAATATTTTGGTTGGTATTCTTTGGAATCTGCTTGAAACAGTATGAAATCTAGTGGAAGTATTTAACAGACAAGAGTCTCTAATCTGACAATAGAAGTTTGTCTGATTTGAAAAATTTACTTTACAACTCTTTGGTTTGTTAACAGCTTATTTTAGAAGCTACCACTGTTTTCCCTGAAATATATACCCCTCAATGTGTACTTTATTGCCTTTTTGTAGCCATTAACTAGTGACAGTTATTAGATCTCTTATTTAGAGGAGCCGCTTCCGGCTCATTAAGTATCTATTGCTGGGCGTTCTTTATTGCTGGTTCTGTTTAGTTTCTAATGACTTGAATACTCAGTATTCAGTAATCAGAATTTGAAAGGCTCTAAATCTCCTGAGAACTCTACCTCCCTGGGATCTTCAGTTAGGTTCTTTGAAGATCACACCAGATACTTTACTGATAGTAAGATCCACTCTCCACCTGTAGGAAACTGTTTACTTGCTTACCCTGTGTTGGACATTATTTTAAGTATTTGATAAGCATTGTGTTTCATGTTCACGACCCTATTTTTCAGATGAGAACTGTGAGGCTCAGAAGTTCATTGAGGGGGCTGGCCCCGTGGCTTGGCAGTTGAGTGCATATGCTCCGCTACTGGTGGCCTGGGTTTGGATCCCGGGCGCGCACCGATGCACCGCTTGTCTGGCCACGCTGAGGCTGCGTCCCACATACAGCAACTAGAAGGATGTGCAGCTATGACATACAACTATCTACTGGGGCTTTGGGGATAAAAAGGGGGGAAAAAAAGAGGAGGATTGGCAATAGATGTTAGCTCAGGGCCGGTCTTCCTCAGCAAAAAGAAGAGGATTGGCGTAGACGTTAGCTCAGGGCTGATCTTCCTCACACACACACACAAAAAAGTTCATTGATATACTAAAGACATGAAGAGCTAGAAAATGATAGAGCTGGTGTATTTTGATTCCAAGTCTGAGACTGGAATCAAAATATCAGATTGCAAATGGTTGCCCATGGATTTTCTTTTTTGGGGGGCAGGGGGTGGATGATATTAAAAAAAAAAAAAGAAAAATTGTTACCACCATTTAAAATTCCAGAGTTTCACATACTTTTGGTTTTGAATCTTGTCTTGGAAAAGCAGACCTGGCAAAACCAGACCTGGCCCTGGTTTCCAACAGTGGTGGACTGGTGATGGGGTGCTGGCTGCCTTTTAGGTGGAATGTGGGTTTTCTGTCCTACAGACCCTACCTGAGATGGCCTGAAGGGAGAGCTGAAGTGTCCTTTTACCCTTTGTCTCTTCTCTGACCCCGCCTACTTCACTCACTTTACTTGCCTGGGCCACGCAGTCAATTGAATTTGATCCTTGCTCAGTACTAACCTCCGTAGGAAGCCTTTACCCGAAATATCTGTAGCATCTGTAGTCAAGTTAGAAGGTGAACCCTTTCTTTTCCATCATTATTAGACGAAGCCGCAGATATTAGGCATGAAGTACTAGGAGCACATACAGACACTAATCTTGACTTTAAGATTTTTACCCTCTAAATATAACTGAATCAGTCTGAATTTGTGGAATTAGTAAAAACACTTCTAAGAATAAGATGACAAGGGCACTTTTCTGTAAGGGCGAGTATTAGATCTAGCATCCTTGGGTATAACTGGGCTACTTTGAAAAGCAAAACATAATTCTGAATGGCTTTTATACTCTACAGAAATCCAGAAACTTTGAAAGGTGGTCTCTTGTGGTGGAGGGAACAAAGGGCTGGGAGCAAGGCAACCAGTCAGTCCTTTACCATTAGTTACTGTCCTCGGCCAGACCTGAGCACGGAGTGATCTCTCTTCATCTGCTGTTAATCTGGATGCAAAGTGCTTCATGTTTGTTGAGACTGAGAACTTGACACAGATGCTTCTACATTAATAGAGATAATTTTCCATTTTGTGGGCATTGTTGCTGTTTGTGTACAAGTTACTAAGTATAATGTGTTTGGCTTCATTATTTAAAAAAGCTTATGAGAAGCCCCATTTGGAATTCTAGTCTGTCCAAGTGATAATACTCTGGGATTAAAGTTTCTTTCAGGTCAGACAGTTGCCTATGCTGGACCTCGAGGGTGCTCTTGTCTGTAGGTTCACCCACACCTAGCTTGCTCCTCTGATGGCATTTTTCAGGCTTCAAATTCCAATTAACCTTTTCAATATATTAATGTTAATATTCTCTATCAGACCAATACTAAGCAATAGTACCAGGTCACAAAAGGGTCAGCACTACCACAGAAATTCCCGAGTTGACTTTGTTCTTCCATTAGTTTAATTGTAGATCCTTCACTGAGGCCCCACTGTGCCAGGGACCAAGCCTACGATGGTTAAGGCACGCATCACCCCCATCCTCAGGTGCCTGTGGTCCAGTGGAGGAGGCAGGCAGGAAACGGAAAATGAGTGCAGGGGTGGGAAGGACCAGGCGCTGGGGAGCGCTCCCCAGCCCAGTGTAGGGAAGGGCGGGGAAGGCTTCCTGAGGAGGGATGTGTGGATGGAGACCTGGTGGAAGAGAAGTGTTCTGGGCAGAGGGAACGGCTTTTGCAAGTTTGAGGAAGCAAGAGAACACATCTTGTTAAATGAAAATGGCCTTTTTTTTTCTGCTTTAGGTTTGGGCAAGGAGTGTGGTTGGCAACAAAGGAGTCTGGTGAGTTAAGCAAGGGCCAGACGGCTTTGTAAACTATGTAAGGGGGTTTAAGTCTGTCCTAGGTTCAGAGTCTGTCCTGTGGGTGCCATGGAAAAGTTTTGAGGAGGGAGTGACAGGGTCAGGTTGCGTTTCAGAGCCTCACTCGAGAGGCAGGGAGACCGATTTGGAGTCTGCTGCAGATGAACTTGATGAAATGACCTTGAGGTGACAGTGGAAAAGAGTAGGGCTTCAAGAGGAATTTAGGAGTTGGGACACCAGGGTGGCAAATGATGGGGAGAAGGCACAAGAAAGAATCAAGGATGCAGGGGAAAACCCCTCACACGAGGGTCCCCATGTGTTTACAAAGATGTTTGTTGCCACATAGTTTATAAGGGGAAAATATGATACAGATATACAGTGGAATAAAATGTATTCTTTAAAAAGGACAAGGTAGATCTACATATGTGGACGTGGAAAGGTAACCACAGAACTTTTTCAGTGTAAAAAGTGGGTTATAGAACAGTATTCAAGATCACTTTTATTTAAATACATATATACTTATATGCCACAGAAAAGCATAGTGGTGGGGAGCGCAGCCTCCAGACTCAGATCCTGGCTCAGCAACTTAGTTGCTCTGTGACCTTAGGCACTGTGACCTTAGGCACCTCTCTGAACTTCCATTTTTTCATCCGTGAAACCCATAATAGAATTTATCTTGAAAGGTTGTCAGGAGGATTATATGAGCTAATGCAGAAACACTCAAAACGGGCTTGGCATGTTACTATTATGCTTAGGTTTATTTTTGAGTATAAAAATATCTGTAAAGCTATACGTTTGTCTCTTATCAGGGTTATCGTGTGTGTGCATATGGGAGATTAGCATAGTTTAAGTTTATAGGGATTTGTATATTAATAGGATTATACCATTTAAAGAGAGAGAAAATGCCCTTCCCTCTGGAACCTTGAGAACCTGGAGGTCAAAGAGATGGCCTTCCTCTTGCAGATTTCCCGCAGACCTCATTGTGGGGTTGGGGGCATCAGGTGTAGCTTACCTTGATAACCGCTCCTAAGGTTCTGGGATGTCCGAACATCCAGTTTGTGACTTGGGTCCGGGCTGGTGCAGCTGATTCTGCAACAGCCTCGGAGGAGGCTAGGGGTGGGCTGTGGTCCTTTGGTATTAGTGCCTTTTGGGAACTGAAGATCATTCCTGGAGAAAATCACCCAGTGGAACCAGTTGACATCCCTGAGGATTCAGGATTGACGAACTTTGTGAGTTGAGCTGGGCATGCAAAACTGTTGACAATTTTACACTAATACTCATTCTCCCACTTTGAGTCAACTGTTTTCATACCATCTCTGCTCTAAACTTCTCTCCACCACCCCTGCCTCTCAGGTCCTGTACCTCCTCCCTAGTGGAGGATGTAGGAGCCAACAGTCAGGAATGCCCTGAACTTGCTACTGTTTATCCTACAAGCTTCCTGCATCTTGCGACAGAGGTGTCCCTCCTGCTATCATGGGCCAGTCCCTCCACACGTGCTCTGGGTCACCTCCCCTCTTCAGTTCTCTCCTTCCTCTGTCTCTCTCTCTTTTTTTTTTTTTTTTTAGTCTCTCTAGTCTCCACTCCACCATCACTAAAAATCCTTCCTTGTCTCCACATCTTTCTTAAATGTCAGGTTGTAGAGGCTCAGTCTTGGCCTCTTTTCTCACTTCTACAAACTCGCCTCGTGTGATCTTACCCACTTCTGTGGTTAAAATCCCCTCTCTGTGCTGCATTTATCTCTCTGACCCACGATTGTATCTCTAACCCAGGTCTCTTCTCAGAACTGCAAGACCCCTATCTCTAGTTGCTTACTTGAGATCTCAAATCTAACACATCTAAACTGGATCTCTTGATTCTCCCCTCCCCAATCTGCCCTTTGCTAGCCTTCTCTGCCTCAATAAATGGCATTTACTCCTGTCACAAACTGGGGAGTTATCCTTGTCTCTCCCCATATCCGTCCTAAACTAAGCCTGAGGATCTGCTTCTAGTATATCTTCCACCCCTCAAATGTAAGCCATTATCTCTCACGATGACCAAAGCCCTCAACTGGTCGTTCTGCTTCTGCTCATGTGCCTTCCAGTCCATTCTCCATCATTAACCAGTGTGACATTTTTTTTAAACAGATATTTTTATTTTTTTGCAGGGAAAGATTTGTCTTGAGCTAACAGTCTGTTGCCAATCTTCCCCTCCTTTTTTTTTGCCTCCCCAAAGCCCCAGTGCATGGTTGTATATCCTAGTTGTAAGTCCCTCTAGTTCTTCTATGTGAGCTTCCACAGCATGGCAACTGACAGACAGTGGTGTGGTTCCGCAACC